GCGTTTGAATATAATATAAAATAAAAGTGGGTAGTAAAATATATTTTGCGTAAGATTACGAACTTGCAAAACACTCGAACACAGAAAACAATGGGAATCCAAGCAACTGAACCAAAGATGTAACTTGAAATTATTAACTAGATGTGGTATCCAGATGGTAAGTACACTCTTCTATTTTTATTACTGAATTCTTTTTTTTTTTTTTTTTTGATACTTGATTGAGACTTGAGATTTTGTTTTATTTTTTATTTTTTTTTAGTTTTTTTGATTTATTTATTAAGATTTATATTTGTAAATATAAAAACATACACATATGCATAGTCGTACATATACACATACATATACATACACACACACACACATACATGCACATACCCTGCATGCACTTACACACACACACATACGCACACACACGAATATTATGTGCATATAGAATTGTTTTTATCCTTATTAGTTTATTTGATTGTGAATGTTTTAGTACAATAATAATGTATTAACTAATAAGTAGCTGCTATGTGTTTCTTCAATGTTTTTTTAAATGTAGTCAATGTAGTAGCATTTTTTATATTTAATGGTAATTTATTGTATATCTTTACTCCTTCAAATTCAATGTTCTTCTTTCCATAGTTCGTTCTGGGTGGTCGAGTTACAAGATGGGTTGCGTTTCTTAGTTTCATTTTTTGCCGAGCACTATTTGTTGTAAAAGATAAACTAGTATGAATATTTCTGTTTAATATTTTACGTACCAATATACACGTGTAGTATATATAAGTTTGCTTTATGGTCATTATTTTGGTGTCCTCGTATATTTTTTTAGTGGGAGTACGAAAGTTGTATCTAAAAAGAACCTTTATTAATTTATTTTGTTTTCGTTGTAAGCGTTATTCTTAGCGCTTTGTCTTTAATACCTAGATTAAAGAGTTTCTGCAATAATATCTCGTGGCTTATTGTATCAAACGCCTTTTTAAGATCAATAAAGATGCCTAGCACTATTTGTTTTTGATCAATTTTATTCTTAATTTTGGTGATTAAATCAATAGTGGCCGAAAGAGTATTTGAAAGTGGACGAAAACCATATTGTCTACTATAAAAAAAGTCTTTTGATTTTAAGAAGGTTTCCAGGCGTATGTAGATCACTTTTTCGAAAATTTTAGAGATAACTGGAAGTACCGAAATTGGACGATAATTACAAGGGTCAAACCTGTTGCCGGATTTATAGATAGGAATAACTTTGGCTATCTTTAGGCTACTAGGGAAAGTGCTAATTTCAAAACTTTCATTGATGCAAAACGTTAGTTCTTCTAATATTAAGTTTTTGATACATTTAATCGCTTTAGTGCTCATACCATCTATGCCAGTATTGGGATCCAATTTATCTATTATTTTTATTATTTCATCAGTAGTTGTCGGTTTTAAATGGTTTAGTTCAGTTGCATCACTAATTACAGCAATGTTTCCTGTGTCGTATCTATTAGTTTTGTATTTATTCGGTATTTGGTTTGCTAAAGCTGAGCCAATAGTTGAAAAGTAGGTATTGAGTTGTTCGCTGATTTCAAGTTCATCTGTGACAATGTTAGTATCAATGACGAGTTTGTCCGGCCCACTGTTGTCTTTTATTTTGTTTTTGGAAAGGTCGTTGATGAGTTTCCACAATTTACGAGGCTTTGTCATACGTTCTTCAAAACATTTTAGGTAATATTCACTTTTCGCCTTCTGTACTTTTCGAATTGTTTCTACCCTAGCTTTTTCGTAATCTCTCATTAGTTCTAAGTTTGATGCATTTGTTTTAAAAGCCTTCCATAGTTTGTTCCTGTTGTTAATAGCCTGGATAATATCGCCATTGATCCAATCTATCTGTGGTGGATTCAGTGTTTTAGTTTTAATGATTTTGCTCTTACTTAGAGCTAGAAGTATCTTCTCATGAAGTCTCTCGTACACCTTTTTCTCTGTATTTACAGGGTTGTCCTCAATATACTTATACAGTTTAGTGTAGTCAATGGCAGTATAGTTGGTTTTCTTGAGAGGAGTAGGTTGGTAACGTTTTACTTCAAAGAATATTTGTTTATGGTCTGACATCGCAGATTCTATGATAGCAAAATGAAAATCATTGTCTTTCAAGTTAGAACAAACATGATCTATAATAGTCTTGGTGGTCGTGGTTTCACGTGTACAGTACTTTGCGTTGATTTTATTCAATATCTTGAAGCCATTTTCTTTTAGCGTGTCCTTGTATTTTCGAGTATATAAATTATTTGGATCCAAAAGGTCAAGGTTATAGTCTCCAAAAACTATAGCTCTCCTTTTGGTGCCTAATTGGTGGGAATAGGTCTCGATAAACTCAGCCATATTGGATTTATCAGGGTTGTAAATGGCACCGATATCCAAACAAAACTTGCTAACATGTATCCATAGGTAGTGTTTATGTTGAATGCAGTAGTCTTCTACTGGGTGGTGCTTTAAGTTGTTATGTACAAAGATAGAAACTCCACCTCCTCGTTTGTCTTTTCTGAAGTTATAGTAATGTGTGTACTCTGGTATTTGAAATCTTTTGGCCATCTCTTCATTTTTAAACCAGGTTTCAGTAAGTATGATCATGTGCATAGAAGTTTGAAAGGATGCAAGAATACATTGTAATTCATCAAATTTGCCGGGCCGTACGATACTCCCAGCATTAACGTAGAAGAATTTTAGCGACTTCTTATCATATTCAACATCTGTATATTTGTTTATGACTTGGTAGGTGATTTTGCCTTGAGAAGTTAGTTTTTTGAAGTTGATTCCACGAGTGCTGGTTGATTGTCCGTCATAGTTATTATCTTCGGAATACCTTTGATGTACTTGATTCGAAGATTAATCTCTCCATTAGCATTACGTTTATGGAGCTCATCTATTAAGGTCTGCAAGTATTTTCGCTGGATGAGAGTTTGATCGGCGTATATTTTGATGTTGGCTAAATCATGATTGTTTTTATTGCGTAGAATTATTTTTGGTATATCCGATGAGTTGAAACACACTTTAACTGCTCGCGTATGGCCTGGTTTGTATTTTCCAAGACGGAATGTTTTTTCTGATTGGGGACAGTCAGCAAAAATTTGTTTAGTTATTTTTGAAGTCTCTTTTTTGTCATATTCTTGTCGTTCGGCGGCTAACTTTATGGTACTTTCAACTATTCCATGTATTATGATATTTTTGGATCTTAACTTTCGCTCTTGTAGTTCATTTACCATCTCTTCGTAAGTTATGTGTGGTTGGAGTCCTTGGGCAGCTGAAGCTATAGGAGGTGAGGTTTTAAGCTTATTAACATCCGCTTCTAAAAGATTAATTTTTTTCTGAGAGTTTTCGGTGATAGTTTCCAAACCTATCAGTTTAGTTTTAAGATAGTTATTTTCAACGGCAATTTTCTCCATTGTGTTATTTATGGCATTTATATGGTTTTTTATAGACGTTACTTCTTCATAAAGTTTATTGGTGTTGTCCGTTTGGTTGTTTTTAACAGATGTTAGAATGGCCATCATCTCGGACATTTGTTTTCGAATTTCGGATAATTCAGCTCTAATTGGATCATTGTCGTCAAACAGCTTCCGTTTGCGAAATGTGATCTGTGAAGGAGCGCTCGAATCTACTACTGACAAGTTTGGTTGAGAACCTCCGAAACTGACATCAGTGCCACTTCCAGTAGGTGAGCGTAGTACGCTCATCGTAGATCTGTGTACAGCGGTGATACACGTGAACAGTGCGATGGGTGTAAGCTCCCCGCTTGATGAAGGGTTAAGAAAGTAATGAAATCGTCTCTCTTACCCGAAGGTGTGAGGAGCTATCACCTCGTAGGTGCTGCTGCAATGCACCCGTCACTCAGAAGACTGTAGACGTAATTACACTATTCACTGTTGTAGCAAAAGATGTTATATTCAAGTGTCGTAAAACTTAGAATCGTTTGGTCGCAATTTTGTGTATTTAATAAATTACTCACAACACGTCCGCTCTGTACGGGTTACGCTCGTAACGATTGTTGATGATGTTGGTAGTCCACATTTAGCTAAAAATCCCTTACAGCTAATTATAAACAATATATATCACATATTAATATAAAGTATGTCAATCACTAATCAGATGTCAAGTTTGCACTCTTTTACGTTGTAGTACGATTTTCTTAAATAATTTTTGATGGTGACCTTAAATAATCTGAATTATTTGACGCAGTTAGGAGTAATGTAAATAAATGATGGTTATTGTATTGGCATTAACGAAGGGGTGTTATAACAAAGACAATATTAATATTCAATTTCATAAAAAGTTTATTAATACGAGTATAAGTAATTAGTTACAATAAGTCTTAAAATACATTGTTGTTTGTCAGAATAAACTTAAGGTAAATGCATTGGTTAAGTAAACGTGTTACGACTAGAATGTGTTGAATATATCCAGAGTATTCTGGATCACGAAAATAAGATTAATCAGGAAAATCTATTAAAAGAAAAAAAAAAATACAGTGGGAGAGAGATAGCGATTTGCTTTACACAAAGCCAACTTACTCATGTTTAAGGATTGTTATCTATCATTATCCTTGGTAACTATTGCCAGTGTTGTGGTGGTCACTCTCCCGGTGTTAAAAATCACAGCTAGTTTAGGTATTTGGTCACTATTAAGATTGTCACGTGAGCACATACATATAAAATTGAATTACGTTTCTGTTTACTCGCGAAGTCTACAAAGCGGCACTAACAAACTTAGTAAGTAATCTAAATCATAATTTATTTGCTCTTTGTTATCTTTTGTGAAAATGTGTGACGTAAAAAATGGCATATTTAGAAACTGGTTCTGCCTTATTTACAATATCTTGGTAAAAAACTAAGGATACAATTTCGTGGCCACAAGTATCTCTTCCGTACAACTTTTTCATTACAGTTTTAAAAGCGATGTAGCAGTAATACATTTAAAAGCGGTAAACACTGGTAATATAGAATAAAACTTTACTAGGACATGTACGGTGGTCACTAAAGTTAACCAAATAAGTAAAGAGCGAAAGTTACAACTATAGATAAAACTTTTCCAGAAGTAGGTATGACGGAGACTGCACTATTGCAGTAGTCAGAGAAGCATTGACATGCAGTCTCCAGATGGTCGTGGGTGTTGGCGCGGTAGCATGGCTTCTCGTTTTGGATCCACCCGCAGCCACGTGTCACACGAACTTGGGCTTCACGGTGTGGAATGTAAACTGGAAAATAAATTTTAGCCTATCAAGATCACTGTCACTGGAGCATTTCTGGTTGTAGAAGATACGTGATCGAACTGCATCATCTAGAGATGGAGAAATGCCGAGAGTCATGCTTCGAACGTACAGGCCAGCTCAGGCGGAGCGAAAACCAAGGCCTCACAGGAAATCGCTGTTAAGAAACTCGTTCGATGCATTTCAACAAGTGAGTGATATTACTTGAGTTTATTTATTTATTTATGACACACAATACAACTATTTTTACAGGTTATGTACCTAATACAATAGTGTAGCCAATCGTTGTTAAAATATCTATAGTATCCCGTATAGTATATATCTATAGTATCTATAGTCCCGGGTGGGAATCGAACCCACGAGATCGACAGGCCCGGCCATAGAAAGCAGTAGTCACTTACCATCAGATGATTCGTCTTATCATTTGCCCCCCTATAACGAAAAGAGGGTATTGTACTAAACACATCACATTAAATACTACGCAATTATCAAAATATTTAACGTGATTATGAGTTTCCAGTACCTCTCTTCATTCTGAGATACTCACCAGTCTGTATAATCTTCCTACAGAAGAAGTTGTAATTCTCAACATTGAGAACACGCGTGTCTTCACATCTGATGATGGGAATGACGAGCGCGCGTGTTTCAGGGTCGTACTTCATAGGGTCCAGGCAAGCAGTGTTGTTGGCACTGGTGCAGTAGAAGCATTGGATTGCAAAAGCTGGAAAGATAAACGTTGATGTTAGGTACTTGCTGTAACAATGTAATGTTTTGGAACGTAATGCGCTGTCAGTTGTAGACCAAGCATAGCACTTACTACCGGTTCATAACAAGAACAAACATACTAAGATACGGTTTTCGGTCAGAGATCTCGCATATTCCTGCAACGTCTAGTTTTAGTAAATTGACTTCTAGTGCAATTTACAATTTGCGTATGTAAATTCTAAGCTAGAATATGAATTTATTTAACTTAAGCTTTTCATGTTTCTGTGCAGAGGATTAGTAAATGGGATGAACAAAATTTCGTCAATGTTATGTTTTTGGAAAACAAACTGTCAATGGATTTTATGTAAAGATGCAGTGGAGCCAAAACAAAGTTGGAGATGTACTAGCAAAATATTTGTGAATCGTTAACTTTCACAGGCATTAAAAACACGAATAAAATGGTTAAATGTGTTATTAATTTAAAAAAAAATGACTTATTCATTTACTTAGTATACTCGGGTAATATCTGCCTTTAATTTCAATATCACATTTAAAAAGTGACACCCATATGAGAATAACAATCGGTTGTTTTTTAACAATTGTTAAGAGCCATTGTTCGTTTTGCTATCTTAACAGAGTTATTTATTAGATAATAGCTGTAGCCTGATTAGTTCCCCGTGATTCAAGACTTTGGTCAAACATAGTGGGTTTAAACATAGTGTTTAGACGGGAAAAATGACCAGGGGTTTACATGCCTTGACAAACTTTAAAACCCCATCCCTGAAGACGAAATAAGTGGTCTGTGTTTAAAAATATTTTCAAATCGGTTTATAAATTTTTGTGGTTTATTTTACGTTCAACGTTATGTTCAAAATTTTGTAAAAAATTAAGTTTTGAGGTATTAACTTAAAAACGGAGTGTCACCACCACTATTTATCCTGTGGGTGTCGTAAAAGCCGACTAAACGAGAAAACTACGCAGGACAACAGCATTACAAAGAGGAGGAAGACGTGACACAGATCCTATACCAACACGTCTGGAGAGCGTTCCTTTAAACTTCCTTTTTAAGGCGAGGCTTATGTCCAGCAGCGGAGTATTTAAGGCTGTTGATATGGATGTGTGAGTTGAAATACTAAAAAGAAATTTGCTTGTCATGCATACTATTTCCTTGCCATGATTTTGCTCTATTCAAAACCCAATTCTAGCTACTGCTTCTGATCGATCCTAAAGAGAGGCCTATAAGGCTGCTACTGATGATAATATATATACAGAATTCAGGTTCCAAATAACACAAAAACTTACATTTACACGATAACGTTAGCAAAATTGTTAACGGGAAAAACATTTTGCACACCATCATACAGCTGAATCTGTAAAAACCACAAAGTAAACAACAAGACTTATAGTAAACAAAATAGATGTTTTCAAAGCATTCAATAAATGCTTAAAAAAAGTGTTTCCTATCTGTTTAACAAATAGGGTCAAATGAAATTAATCAAAAACATTTTTGCGAACTAATTTAGGTGTTTTTACTTGTACGGAGAAAGAATCAGTCAGAATTAGTCAGTCTCTTCTAATAGTAAAACGCATAATTACACCTTTCTTTCTGTGCGGAAATGCCCTCGGATACCCCTTACCGGTGGCAATGTCGGACTCGAACCGACTAAAACCGCACGCCGTCTCAGGTACCAGGTAGTAGGGGAACCAGGTGTACCCTAGAAAGGAAATCCCTGGTACCCCGACGTACCTCGGGCCATCTACAGAGGGTAGACGAACCCCCCCCCCTCCCGTGTGGGAACCCCATGTTCCCTCTGTGCTCCCGGAAGGGCGCGGGTGCTTCGCAACGCGTTCCCAGCCCCGGCCCCCCCCCGGCCTGCTTCTTCGAGGGTGACAGATGGCCTCACCTGTCACCCCCAGGCCTGCGGATGCATAATTACACTATAAATCTGAAAGTGAGTTTGTTTGTTGCGCTTTTACGCTTAAACCACTATACCAATTTCAAAAATTCATTCACCAATAGAAAGCTACATTTTCAGCGAGTAACATAAGCTACTTTTTACCGCACCAACCAACGTACACGCGGGTAAAGCCGCTCGCATTAACTAGTAAGTAATAAACTCCAAGCAAATTCCTTTTCTACATTCTTTTTCTATTTTACATTCAGCTGCACTGCTAGGTATGAAGGAAAATTACCTTCGTTCTGAAAAAGAACTCTGCATATTTAGCCCATTTCACAATATTAGTGAATAAAACATCCACAGCCCACATTTAACCTAACAAAGCCACGGCAATAAGACTCCATTTAACCCAATAATGTAAAACATTCCTCGGAAGTTACTCAGCATTTCTTATAATGCCTTCACTAAGTATTCAGTTATAAAAGATTATTTTTCTTCAACTCTTTTTACAGAGGTTTTATTGTTACTTTTCGCTTTTGTTGATAAAAATTCTACCTATGTCTTACATTCGACTCGTTATTTTTTTAGCAATATTAATATTTTAAATAAGTTAAATGCTTATTAATATTTTCATACTATTGTTTCTTAAACTGTCACTATGTAAATATTGTATTAATATTAATTGTTAAAAAAATCTTGTTTACAACACACATTAAATGTGTGTTAATTATTATACATTAAACTGGATTGACAAAATTGACATTAAATTTTAATGTAATTTTGTCAATCCAGTTTTCCTGGATAAATTGTAGTCTATGTCTGTTTATCCAGAGTATATCCGTATAATTTCATCCACTTCTGTTAAGCTGTTCCAGCGTATTTCAATAGTATAGTATATATAGTATAGTATCAATTTTCTTTTGGAAAACATCGCCTATGAACACCTGTAATTCAAGAGTCATTCTGTTGACCGACCCCCTCCCCTCCCCCCAACCAGTGGGAGTGGGGAAGGGTTGGGCTCTGGTAGATAGATAGATAGATAGAAAACTCTTTATTTGCACACTAAATTACAGAGTTACAAGAAAGGAACACAGCGATCAAATATCGAGTGTACAAAGGGCGGCCTTATTGCTAAATGCAATTTCTTCCAGGCAACCTTAGGATGGATCAAAAGTTGCAGAGAGACAGTAGTAGTTGAATATCTGCATTTGTGAAACAACTATTAGTTTATTATTATCTACTATACATATTACATATACTACACATATTATATTATCTACAAACATTTACAATTTTTATACTTACATCTACAATGCATATCACAATAAATAAACCTACATTTATATAAGTACCTACATACATATAGCAAATATACGAGTACATATACACATACATATATAAATACGCATTCTTAAATGAATAAACATATAGAAAAGAGAAACAGTTTCGTTACACCCTCAAGCGTGATGGACTCAATTAAGGTGAACAAAAGTCCTGTACCATTTTCTTAAATCTATTTAATGTTTGCGCCTGCCTGATGTTAAGCAGCAGTGCATTCCACAAGCGCACAGCTTCAACAGTGAAGGATTGATCATAAAATTTGGTGGAATGCAGTGGCATTTCCAGTTGTAAACTTACGGATGACCGCAGACATAGCATCACTGACTCGGTGAAAAAGCAACAAAACAACTGCCTAACACTGGTTTTCCCAAAGTTCCACCTTTAGAGGTATTACCGATGATATTTACTTACATATGTTTAATAATATTAGAAGTCGTAAAATCTTACCCAAAGTCTATTTCAAAATTACACTTAGTTTAGAGCAATAAATTTTAGGCTCAAATTCGACTTCACAGCGATTGTCACTGATAATAACTGAACTCTACGAGTATGTCGGTTCAATAGTACGTACCATACACAAACATTCATAATGTGTCAGTGCGCATAGGAAAGTCTTATTATAGAATAGCGCGAACAACTGGTCTTGATCCTTAATATTTAGCGTTAGAAAATTATTTAGCGTTTGAGAATACATCAAACTCTTTGATTTAATAGAAAGGACCGTGGTTTTTAATGTAGAGGTTTCTTAATGGTGCTTTATCTGGAATGAATAGGTAGTCTTTACTGCATGTAAGATTGTGGTTTCACTAGATATGCGCAAGGTAAGCACTAAGAGATAAAACTACCCTGCGCAACTATATACCTTGTTACTCTAAAGCTAATCTGTGCTGGTAAGATGTACTATGAAGATGTGTAAAGCAACAAAGATACTCATTGCAATACACGAGTTTTTTGTCCTGTCAATAGAATGTCCGTGTGAATGGTCTCTGCTCCATAATTGGAAAAACACTCGCGAAATCTTAGCTTAAATCTGCATATACATCCTAATTATGCATACATAATTCGAAACCTTAGCACTCATTCAAAGCTTTAATAATTACATAAGAAAGCTACACTGCTGCTATACTGAAGATAGGCTAAAGCTGCGCAGTTAACACTAAGTGGCAATGGTAAGCTAAGCTTTATAAATCGAGCAGTCCCAAAACAGCACATTATTACATCTCTTGAGGAATCGCATCCAATCACTGTCAATCCAATAAGTGTGTAATTTAAATAATATAAAATTCCTCATTAAGTTGTTCGAGACTTGGCGTCCGTTAAACGAATTTATCAACTTATCTGTATACTAACCTCTGACAAATGTTATCGAAATATTTGTTCATGTTTAATCTAATTATTACATCGTTCATTAGTGTCCGTTTTGTATACAATCTTGTTCTTTGTATGTAGTTTAAAAATACCAGAAGCAAGCTACCTTATCTTGCTGAACTTTTATAGCCGCGTGTGGTATAAATAATAACTTCAGATTTTAGTATTTAATTCATTTATTGATAGAGATTCAAAGTAGGAAATAGACTACATAGTAACTAAATTTACTGGAAATCATTTGCATGGAATGAATACTACTGTTTAGATTTCAAGAAATAACAAAAAAATAACTAGCTTTAGTGTCATTCGTTATCAAATTAAATGTTGAATAATTGAATTTCTACCTCCCAGCCATCTAATCAGAATTGTAATAAAACCCATGGCGAGATGGTGAGAACACGTGGTGACAATTATGTAATCATCACCTATCAAATACCATACCTATAATTTTATAATAAATAAAGTACATATGTGAAAATCCAATCCTTACTTAATAAGAAGCTCTAACCTGAAACTCTTAAATGTGATGTTTTTCTTATTAATATAGTTATGGGCTATACAGATATCACAGCAGTTAGTTTCTTACATACGTAAGTTTTATATAAATAATATATAATAATTAATTGTTTTATTTACTAGGAATTAATCAGTGTAATTTATGTTTACACACTACGTACTGTAATGTTTATATTACCAAATCAAGTTTTTTGTTAAATCAAGATCTTTTGAGTGACATACAAAAAATATACTGCAGTAGGTACAATCCTTCTACAGGGAAACGTGATCCTGAAATTATAAGGCTTCAGGACCATTGTACTGTATATTTGTCTACATATATTATTAATATATATATTCTTGATACTTGAAAGTTACTTGTTGTGGTTACCTAGATTACATGCAGATACAGAATTGTCTCAATAATAGCTCCTTAAGCGCGGAGAAATCGAAGCAGAAGTGAGGAAATAATCGAATCGAAATCGAATATTTCGGATATAGCTAAATGAATCTGCAAGTTGAAGTGGCTACATTACATACAGAACTGGTGCTCGATGGGAATGAAAGGTTCTGGAGTGAAGACCAGAGGCCGAAAGACGTCCGGCAACAAGATATACAGGTGATTTTCTTAAGATTGTAGGTCGACGATGGATGCAGGTGACTTCAACCCGAATTACCAAGCTTATATCTACCTATCATCATCATCATCAGCCTATCGCAGTCCAATGCTGGACATAGGCCTGGCATCTTGCGTATTCGTCAGTCGACCTTGTCTGTGGGCGTCCTACACTACGTTTACCTAGGCGCGGTCTCCACTTGAGAACTTGTTCACTCCAATGGTTGTCATATCTGCGGGCTGATATGGCTAGCTCACTCCCACTTCAGCTTGCTAATTGTCGGCCCATAATGTTGATGACTCGGTAATAATAATTAAATATTCTAGGACTAGGTAACGTCACGGATAAATAAAAATGTACATTTATAAAAAAATAATTGAATAATATGAATATTTCTCACAAGTGCTGATAATGGTAGTGACGTAACATAGTATTTTATACAAAGAAGTGGCAGGAAAGTAAACCTCGTTTATAAAAAAAAGGCTTTTAACTGAATCAAATTCGTTATTTAATTTATCTTAAAAATTCTAACTGCTTTTTACTTCAGATTAATTAAAGAGGTTTGATTAAACCAGTGTAGGTATATTATATATTCTTGTCGGGTACCTTTTGACTTCTGGTGAAGTCAATGTCGTATACGCACTTTTTATTCCTGGTATAGTGTGACTACGAAATAGAATATAAGTTGCGGCTCAATAAATAAATCTTCAATAGTTTTTTGCAGATCTTACGACTTAAACCTAAATAAAATCGTCAATTTACATTCTACAAATTGCATGAGTATATTAGTTGCATACTACCTAATTAAGGAAATTACAGTATTTTGCAGTCCATCACATCAACAGCCTTTAATAGTCAACTGCTGAACATAGGCCTCTCCTTAGAAAGGAGGTTTTGGCCTACTATATCACGCCAACCAGACGGCTTGGTATAGGGTTTGTGTCAAGTTTTCCTTATTTTTGCAATACTGATAACCTGCGTAGTGTGCTCCCTTAGTCGGCTCTTATGACACCTACGGGATGAGTAGGGGTGGTGACACTCCGTATTCTTAATCACGTCACCACCCGGTAGCCATAAGAGCCAGAGAAAGCCATTGCTTGGTACATACGGGCCGGCTTGAACGGAGTGACACCATTTCTTTACAGAAAACCGAGGATAAGCATTTCTTTTTATCGAGTGGATGAGGTTGTCGGAGCTCAAACGATCATACCCCCCTCCCCCTCCTCAGTAATAAGCAGTTGTGTCTCTTAAGTTAACCGTCTTCTCGTTTGCTCCCTGTATCATAAAAAGAATACTAAAAAGAATTTTTAGAGTGCAAGAACTTAACCCAGAAATTGAACCTTATAGAATTACTAATTTTAATTGTAAGTGTAAAGATGAAAGTAACATCAAGGTTGTAAAACCTCACATACAAAACATAGACCCCCGGTCGGAACGAAGTATAGCAAGAAGTGTTAGAAAAAAGTCTTGTTATACATTTTTCGGTCTTAGTCCCATCCGTTCAGAGCGTGTAACGAGCGATAAGGAAGATCGTTTCAAAAATATTAAAGAACAAATCTCAAATAAATATAGGTACAAATTGCAGGCAGCCAATCGTGTGTTATTCCAAGACGAAAAACAACATGTAAAGGGTAACATATAAAAAATATACATTCGCAAAAACTCTTCAATTCGCCCTGAGCAAGTCATTCCAAATTTTTATAACAACTAAAGAAAACATTGGAAGTTATTTTTTTCACGGAGTATTTGAATAATTTCAACGTTCGATTTCGATTCCGACCAATAAAAGTAGGAATTTACCTACCCACCTTCTGTGTGAAAGTTCATAACACGAATTTGAAATTAAGTTACTTTTTTAGAATACTTGTGGCTTATTGTTAAAAACTTTTAATACTATCACTTTTTGTAGATGACGCAATAAAACCTGTAAATGTAAGTATGTAGTATCAAAAAAAATACATATTTATATAAAATACATATTTTCACATTCGCGGTAGTGAATGTCGATCGATGAAATCGTAGTAATTGTTTCACTGTACCTCTTTAACTTCGGAATTCTGATGTAGTATTTAGTTTATTAAAGTTATTTTAAGTTTTAAATATTCTCCTTCTTCCTCATTTGGTGCCCCAATAGATGTCACCAGTAATATAAACACAACGCTATTGGTTAGCCATGATCTTCCGTAATGTGTAGATGTACCAGTCAAGCGCATTATAGTAAATTAACCATCTACCTCATATATTATTCTTAATAATTTTGTTACTTTTATTCCATAACTAAGAAAGTCTTTAAAAGAAGAATTCTTACCACTGTTAAGTGGCGCAAGTTAAGAAAGTAGAATGATAAATGAAAGTAACCGTTGCATAGCCTATATCTTGTCATCAGCATATTACCGCCCACTGCTAAACGAAGACCTCCCACAAGCAGCGTCAAATATCCAGCCATTTTCCTTAAATCGTCGGTCTTCGTGCCGCAGGGCGCCTTACACTATCTTTTCCTTAATCATACTTGGGGTATAATTTTCCAGTACAGTTTTGGTTTTGCAGTAGGCTTATTAGGGTCAGTTTATAACAAAACTAGCTGACCCTGCAAACGTTGTTTTGCTATTTACATTATTTAACTTTTATTTTTTTTAATTTCTTAAAATCCGTTCTTAGCTGACCTCTACTCGGTGAAAAAATATTCCTACCAAATTTCAAGTGATTAGCTCTAACGGTTCCAGGGATATCATGATGAGTGACTATATACGTGGAAATCTCTTATATATATATAGATAAAGAAGATTCCTAAAATTTTTAGTTAGACCATATTGTAGTGTCAATGCTCTCGCTTTGCTAAGGAGAGAAGTGCATTACTTTATTATATTTCAACTCTTCCAATTTTCTTCTGATTAATTGCATTGCGGGTTCCAAGACAGTTATATTGCTTCCTTTGACTTCCCGTTCGTGGATCACTGCTGTTGAGCCTGGTGTACCTACCGGAGTTGCAGCGGAGGACATGTGGGAGGGATTAGTCCCGTTAAATAAAAGTCATTTTTTTTTTAAAGTGTAATATATGTTCTTCTATCACTTCTTAAGATTTTATCGCGCCTTTTATTAACACATCGATCGTTTAAATACACCAATGTATACCAATACATTTAGGTGTTAATTGAACACTATTTTTAATGTCACTAATTCTGTTAAGTGGCGCAAGTCTGAATGTTTAATGGTCTACTATTTTATACTAGCTTTTCCCATTGCTTTTCTTATCTTATATGTAAACATTTTCTGCCTATCCTTATAATGGGCATATCCCATTTGGAATAATCGAGCTCTGACAGTAAGTAGTTTTCTGTAGACTAGGTAAAATATTTTATTAAAAGATATACCTTTGTAATTTAGAGATATATATGTTACACTTTTAATGACTAGAGTAATTACAAGCAAAAATAGAACGTATTTAAAAAAACACTTACACCCTTGTGAGTAAATTTAAATAGATCCATTGTTCCCAGAAAATAAATGATACGCTACAATTACACAAAAAAATCGTTATAATAATCATCATAATTACTTCAGAGAGGACATATTTACTGTTAAATATTGACGTATTCTAAAGAGTCCAACAAAAAACACGAAAACTACAAACAACTCACTGCTTAATCTTTAGTAAGTATAATTAACCAGTATCTATAACTAGAACTGTCGTTGTTTCGACTCTCCGTTTCATGATAGATTGCATATACCACTTTTTAACTTTTTGTACCTATTTTCTCGTAACTTTAAATCATTTTAATTAATGCACTGTTCGTGTGGTGACAGATTAAGAATACGAAGTGTCACCATCCCTATTCATCCCGTGAGTGACGTAAGAGCCGACTAAGGGAGCAAACTACGCAGGACAACACCACTGCAAAGAGAAAACTTAAAAAAAACCCGTCTGGCCAGCGTAGTATAGTAGGCCAAAACCTTCTTTCTAAGAAGAGGCCTGTGTCCAGTAGTGGACTATTAAAGGCTGTTGATGAGTTAATACACTTCTTTTATAAACTACTAATAATTCAAATTTCCTTCTTCCTCCCTCCATCTTTACAAATGTAACGATAATATTATCTTCATAAATCATAAGAACGACAAATTAGAATCATCACATAACAAACTTCCCGACACACATACAGACGTGAGACCCACTTTACCTATTAAAGTACCTAGTTTGTATCGAAAGCACTTTGTTTAATACAATTACGTCCTTTGCTGTCGGAGAGGTGCAGTTCTATATTTATATTTCCGATGCATTCCACACTTACTTTCTTAACCCATTCAGTCAGATCGTGAACCAATATATGGCGAAAGAACGATAATGTTTTAATTTCTTCTTCTCTACTTAACAAATTTCAATTTAAAAAATGATTGAATACCACAAAAATAAAATTAATAACAAAAATAGTATACCCAACAATTTATCAGTCGAAGAAAACTTGACAAGCAATCTTTACCTTCGTGATTATTACTTGAAAGATTTCAAATATATAAGTCCAGATGAAGTCAATTTGAATAAGCCTAAAATTATAAACAAGGATGTCGAGAAACCAGTGGTCACGGAGACACGACAGCAACCGAAGTCTACGGTAGAGCTTTGGGCGATAGAACTTATGAAAGGGCTGAAACAGTTCTTCTACCAGGGATCCTTGCACGGAGTCAAGTTAGTGTCTATTTATCTATAACTTAGAATATGTTATAAATATGTTTGACTTGATATATATATTTTTTAATTTTATAATTTACTAGCTGTTTCCTGCTACGCTTTGCTGTGGCACATTTCAGAAGCAAAATATAGATAGAACCATCTTTGAAGCAGTAGTATATTTGTAGATATATTGTGTTAAAGTTTGAGCTTAATAAGCGCAGAACTTTTTAAGCTTTTGATGCACAAATCAACATTACATTTATATATATTATTAAGATAAGATAAGATGTATTACTTCGTGAAGAATATTCTTTGGCGCCTTTTTTAAACAAATGTGGCGCACGGACTCAGCAGCATATCATATGTGGAATACATACTTAATGTTTGTTAGATGGAGAATAAGAGTAGAAAAATCAATTATTTTGCTATAAAGTTAAGAATATGTAAAAATGGCTACATATAACGAAAGGAGACCAGTTTGTATTAAACCTTTTCATGATACAAAAGTCTGTTCAATGGCAGTTCAAGTTATGCTGGTGATGAAATGAAGCAAGAGTGCAAACGGTCGAAATTCAACTCGGGCAGGTATGATTTCATTGCTAAAAACACATAATCTTTATCTCCCCAGGTATATTTTCGAACCAACGTTCAGTGCAAAAGAAAGATGGACATGGATTGTAATAATGATAATCAGTATGATCGTTTTCTCAGTAATTATGATCCAGCTGTTCTGCAAGTGGACATCCACACCTTTCGTGAATGTCATAGACTCTGTTCCAACACCAATTTGGGCAGTACCATTTCCTACAGTTGTCATTTGCCCCCACTTGCACGTAAAAATGTCGTATGCTAATATATCGGAATTGAAAGGGTAAGTCTATGTTTCCCAGAATTCTTTAGAACTGTTTTACTTTAGGTTATAAACTTTCGTATATCCAAATATGCAAGAAATAAACCTGCAGGCTCTAATACAAATGCTTGGAAATTCGATCTTTCTGATATCTCGATCACTCTGGACTTGGTTAAAAGCTGACGAATGCAATGAAATATTTCTTATCTACAGGAAGAAAATTAAAAGATTCTGTTTCAAATAGCATTTGCTTCACCAAACGATTTATTACATGAGATTAGGTTAGTGTGGAGAGAACTGAGGGCCTGTGTAAGGGCCTGTGGTGACGGCCTGCACCGAAATCACACTTTTTTCAACTTGGACGTTATCATCACTATTCATTGAAATAGGATAATTATCAATGAATCATGAACTGCAGAAATATAAACACAGTTTTTATTTTATTTTGAAATCTATTTTGTAGGAAAATCTCTCAAAATCTTTGTTGTTCTAGTTTACAAGAATTTTTTGCATCAATGGTCTGTCCACGGATGACCAATGACAAGAAATTTTTGGATACGAGGCTTGACCAGTCTGAAATTATAAAGTTCAAAGATTTTATAATGCAGGTAAGCTATTGCCTTAATAAGTTTATTTTTAGGATATATATATAATATATATATTAAGGAAAAAAGTAGTGTCATGATAAGGTAACTGATCAAAAGCTAGTGGCTACCTACCTCTTTCTTCAATTTCCAAGTTTTTGCCACTACGCATACCAACTTGATTTTTATTATTTTAGCTGTTTGGTATCGCTTGTTGATTACTTAATTCTATAAAATGAATAATTGCTAATATCTATAGGTCACAAGAGGCATCTAATTTAAACAATGTTTTAAGGAATATATTAATTGAATGTCATAGTATTACATTTGTTTATAATGTCACAGGCAAAGTTAAGACTTTCAATTAGGAATATGATTTTTGATGTTAAATATTACGTTGATTTCGATACACTTCTAATTAAGTATACTCTAAAATGTTGAGCAGGCATCTCCAACGTGTGGTGACATAATCAAAGCTTGTAACTGGCCCGCGAAGCATGCAGCCTACTGGGAGACAGACAGGTGCTGCGAGCTCTTTCAACCGATCTTCACAAACTATGGCCTATGCTATGCCTTCAACAGTTTGCCTTTAAACGCCATGTAAGTGACAATCTCGATGAGGCAATACTCCCCTAGTTAGGGTGGAAGGGAGATACGAACAATGTTCAAGAATAGATGGTCTTATTACTTAGCATTTCCTAATTGCCAAGTCTTGCGGCATAAATATAATTCTCCATGCGTGATATAAATCGAAAGAGCTTTTATTTAATTGTTTATTTAATTATTATTTTTTCACTTAACACATATCACACACTGCTGTCTGATCTCAAACTAGGCAGAGCTGAGCAGAGCTTTCTATATACAAACATATAATATGTAAATTACTCCCAGATACAGAACAAACGATCGTGTCAGCACACAGTATTATTAGTCCTGGGTGGGAATCGAGCCCACGTCTCTCATCATTTAGGATCACTTCCACAAGACTGCTTGGCCAGTAAACAAACTAATTTCAAAATTACCAGTCGAATATATTTTTGTATTGAATACAATATTCATTAAAGTAAAATATTGGCATACAGCAGTGACCATTAATGCAGGTTAAAGTGCGGGGAAAGAAAATTACCTCGTTATATCAAATATTATAATTATACTTGCTGACCCGGCGAACTTCTTACCGCCTATTAGGTAACAAATTTGGTAACATACCTACCGGATCCATATAGATAAAATTTTATCCAAATCTGTCCAGCCGTTTAGGAGTAGTTAGGTTACAAACACACGTACAGAAGAATTATATATATAAAGAGAAGACGAGAAGACAGTGAAACTGTTGGAATAACAGAAATAACATACATTTGTGGTTCTCCTAATGGGACCAAAATATAGGCTTACTAGAAAACGCTACTTTTACTTTCTTTTTCACAGGACAAATGACACGCTTTCTTGGCAGAAATCGTTCAGCGACAACGCCAAGCCAGCAGCTTTAGAATGGGACCTGGACACCGGCTACCCAAAGGTGTTTCCCCCCGATCTAACGATGAAACCGTTCAGGGTAATGGCTTCTGGAGAGTCTAATGGGTTAAGTGTGGAGTTGTTCTTGAATGACAGCGAGCATCAGCTTGATTGTGAAGGGAATAGCTTGGGATTTACTGTAAGTAATGTTTTATTGGTTTAAAATATTACTCTTACTTAAGATTTAAGAGCTAACTTGTAAATAAAATAATTGTTGAAAAACCAAACCATGAGTTTACGTTTACGGGATGAAATGCGACGAAACACTAGCTTAATACTAGTTTTCTGCGAGGCCTCAGGCCTGTGATCGATTGTTATTGCTATTTGCTCATAATTGCTACCCATATCAACCCACGATGGGTCGAAGTCGTCTTTCGATAACGTAGGCTTACAATTGTAGTTATGTCCATCACTTGTTCATTTAAAATATTCTAAAACATTAAAACTGATAGAATATTGCATATCATTTTCTACATACATCGTTCTGCAAAGTATTTTGTGCACTCTAAAATTTATAACTTCCTATACCAGCCGACAGATACTCAGGCTAGATCTACACAGTCATCAATTAAGCAATTGATAGGACAATAATAATAATAAAATAATTATCATCATCAACAGCCACAGCTGCAAATAGACCTCCCTGGCAAGGAGGACAAGAATACATTTTTTTAAAAGTGCACCTTGCCTACAGGTCCTAATCAGCTCTCCTACCGACCACGTCTACACGAGCACCGTACTGAGGCTGCCCATGGATCGAATGACGACCATCGAAGTGACACCTCTCACCTACAAAACTGACTACTCCCTGCGCTCCGTTTCTGCCTATAAGAGACAATGTTTCTTTCAAAACGAGAAGAAACTTCAGTATTACATGTTTTATACAGATAGTAACTGTAAACATGACATGCTGGTGAGAGAAGCAAGAAAGATGTGTAACTGTGTGCTTTTTAACTGGCCAAGTAAGTACAAGATGAAAAAGTTATATCAAAACTGATATCTTTGACATAGACACATATGATAAAAATAATTGTACTATTTCATCATCAACAGCCTTTAGTAGTCCACTGGTGGACATAGGCCTCTCCTTGGAAAGGAGGGTTTGACCTACTATAGGATGACGATAATAAAAAAATGGCCAGCAGACGGGTCGGCCTTGGGCTTGTTTCAATTTTCCTTCTCTTTGCGAAGCTGTTGTCCTGTGTAGTTTGGTTTAAGACACTCACAGGATAAATGGGGGCAGTGACACTCCGTATCCACACCGTCACGAATGCTATTTGATGTGACGAAAAAGGTTTTGTGCATGGAAGTTGAAGGACGGCCTAAGATAAAAGAAATGGACAGCGTAATATCCTCTGATATGACTATGGAGTAAAGGAGTAGACAGTGAACGTACGAATGATAAAGAAGAATGAAAAAAGAAATTTGGACAAAGCACAAGAAGATAGTAATGTGGGTGACACACAACTAGTTTTCTTTTTTACATTTAGCTTAACTGGGGAGATAAGCTAAATGCTTTGAAGGTGCACGGGTTCGAACTCGCAACCACTTGATCGCAAACTTTAACGGACTGAATGTTGTTTTTTAAACGGATAAACATTTTACAAAACAAAATTTGAAAATTAATTACAAGATAAATATTATTTTATTACAGAAAAAAATATCTGGGAGCCGCTTTGTTCTACGAAGGAAGACTATAACTGCATTAAAAAAGTTGGAGGTATATAATGTGTACTTGTTGTTGTTGTTTTTATTTACATACACATTAGTGTTAGGTAGTGTAAAACAATAAGAAGAAGGAAGTAAATATAAAACAAGTTTGTCTATAATCACTTGTGAACTCTAGAACTTACCCCCTAATATGCAGGCAATTTTCAAGATAAATACTTAACTCCAGACATTAGCGAGAATTATGCTTCTTCAAATTAAGAAAAATAATTTTATCACCCTCCAAATTTGGAACGAAAATCCCGAAGTCGGTGAAAAGTATCTAGCGATTTAAAGAAACAGTAATAATAATAGTTTCACACATCTCACACACGGCAGTCTGATCCCAAACCAGGCAGAGCCTGTGCTATGGTAACCAGACTACTGATAAACATACTTATTTTTCTGAATACATACATATTATAGACAAATTGAACCCAGATACAGAACAAATAGCCGTGCTCATCACACAATAATTTGTCCTGGGTGGGATTCGAACCCACTACCTCCGGCGTAGCAGTCAGAGTCACTAACCACCAGACAAACAGGCTCGTCATGTGTAACCATACTGCTTACATCAGTTATTTTTTTCCTTAATTCTTTTCTAAGATTTGAGATTAAGATCCTGCTAAGATTTTCTGCCAAGATTTCAGTCCCGTTTACCCATCCAAGCCTTGCGATAACACTTAACCTAGCTCCGTATCCGCTTACCTTACCCCGATTTGAATATTCCCTTTATCACTTCTAAGAATTCGAAACATTTGGAAAGAGGGAGGGTTGTCGTGAAAGAAACTAGCCAAAACTCCTAGACCAAAAATAAAATTGGAAAAAGGCCAGGAAAATTATGATGACATCCTTAATCTACGAGTATACTAATATTATAAAGCTGAAGAGTTTGTTTGTTTGTTTGTTTGAACGCGCTAATCTCAGGAACTACTGGTCCGATTTGAAAAATTCTTTCAGTGTTAGATAGCCCATATATCGAGGAAGGCTATAGGCTATATATCATCACACTAAGACCAATAGGAGCGGAGCACCAATGAAGAATGTTTCAAAAACGGAGAAAATTTATTACTATTGAGAAACGCAGATGAAGTTGCGCGGGTCAGCTAGTAGGATATAATACTTAAGAGGATTGAATAACTATGATATTTTATCATTCTTATAGCAAAAGTAGAAGAACAGCTGATATATGCGTACTACGCGGAGAGTGAGGACGAAAGAGGCACACGACATGAGTCCAGGTCCTGTCACCCATCCTGCAACGACATTATATACGCCTCGCAAGTGTTCTACTCCGACCTCACTAAAGACTTGGAAAACAGTTCCCATAAATGGGGGAAGCTGAGACCGTGAGTAACTATATTAAGCGTATATTAAGGTTCATTTCAAGTCTTTGCAGCAAAATTTAAGTAATAATATTAGAAGATTTAGTTTTTTGTGTGTCGAGAAACGCAAGCCTCGTCATTGGAAAGTCGACAGTTTAAAAGAAGTTATCTTAAATAAGTTTTGATACAGAACTGGATCTATATGACCTACATATAAATACAAATATGTAGTATCTACACACTTCTGTAAATTACATATTTGGTTTATTTCGTACGACATCAATATAAAAGATAGTGAGATTTGATTTATTTGCAATTGTTTTTTGCTTAATTACAGTTATTTTCAAGACTTTACAAAATGTATGTATATTGTATGTTTCAGTGGCGAAGTAACTCAGATCAATGTTCATTTTTATGACGACATGTTTCTTGGTCAACATCGACACGCGCAATACGATGACTTCTATTTTGTGGGTATGTTCTGACTTTAAGATAACCAGTAATAGATCTTATAACGTCATAACACAATTTATTTGATATAAAAGCTTGGCGGGAGCTTTGAGTATTCGTATTTACTTAGTTTGAATATTTTAAAAATTAAAATCAATCAGATCGTTATTGAATTAACTTGTTTTATCTACACAGGTAAATCTTGCGATAAGCTTTAGCTAGACTTTCGATCCTTACGCGAAAAATAGTAAGTCGTGTCCTTTTTTGAGATCCCATGGAGCTCCATTACAATTGGCTTAGGCGTGTTACATGCCTGATAGATATACATACCTACTTTAGCATTTACAATAATAGTATAGATAAACTGATAGCCTCATTTTGTAATTGCACTAGTTTTAGAAATAGCTATAAGAAGGTATACAGTTAACTCATCTTGACAAACTAAGAGTATGGCCCGAAGAGAGAAATATAGACAACCGAAAGAAAGAAAGAAACATTTATTTGCACAGAATACAGGTGGTACCAGATTTTACAAAGGTGTATAATGTTCAAGCTATATTCTGCCTGTACTAGGCATGCAAATATTTATATAGAGACTCAAAACATTAACTAATGATAACTATTAACTAATAAAATTAACAAAATGTCAAAAAAGAAAAATACATAGAACTAACATGGGGCAATAATTAAAGGTGCACTTGTTGTACAAAAGGATAATAATTAAAGAAAAAGACATTCATAGTCATTCGACACAATTGATTCCGCATGGTAATGATAAGTAATTCAATAGTTTCAAAATACGTATTATAATGCGAAGTAGTCTAGATTATATCTATTATTACTAGTCACTTTTTACTTATATTTATGAAGACAACTTTAAAGTTGCAACTCCAATAACAAATATGATTTTTTTCAGGTGCAATTGGAGGTCTCCTTAGCCTTTTTCTTGGATTCAGCATCATCAGCGTAGCAGAATTAGTGTTCTTCGTCTTGTTAAGACCTGCTTATTTAGTTTTTCGAGAGAGGCGAGATTAAATTTATATTCACGATACATTACTGCTTCTCAAATTATTAATTATTACACGCTTTATATTAGCTTCACTTGTATGTTTGTTTGTATGTTTGTAACCGACTCCTTTGGGCGTGATTTTGACTGACTTTAAACGGTCAGAATTCGTTCAAACTTTGTAGATATATCGAGGACCGATGACAATACACTAATTTAAAAAAAAAAAAAAAAATAGTTTTAAAAAACTAATAAACTCGCTTTCTATAGAAAACCAAACTAAAAAATAGAAAATAAATTTGAAAAAAAGCGTGGGGTGCTTTTTACTATTGACAACAGGCACTATAATTTTTTTTTAATTTTTTTATGCTTAGTTTGAGATCAAACTGCCGTGTGTGAGATGTATGAAGACACACATGTGGTGACGGATTAAGAATACGGAATGTCATCACCCCTATTCATCCCGTGGTTGTCGTAAGAGCCGACTAAGGGAGTAAACTACGCAGAACAACAACACTGCAGAGAGAAGGAAATCTTGACACAAACCCTACACCAACATGTCTGGCCAGCGTGGTATAGTAGGCCAAAACCTCCTTTCTAAGGAGAGGCTTATAGCATTGGACTATTAAAGGCTGTTGATGATGATGTGATTATTATTAATAACACTGATATGCTATCTATATTTATAAAAATGTTAAGTTAGGTTTGTGTATGCTTCAAAAACTCGAAAAGTTTTGCACCGATTGAGCTAAAATTTTGACACGAAATACAACACGCTTCAGAGAAGGTTTTTGACTGTTTTTTTTGCAATAACATTTGACACTGTGAAGCTTGGCAGGGTACAGCTTAGTTTTAAATAAAAACTTTAAGAGTGGGAGTTATTCATTTCCGAGTTATTCAAATTGTATTTTTTATGATAAACTGTATTAGTTCTAAGTCTAAAGGTCTGACAGATCAAGAGTTTTCTCTTTTGAGAAGGGGAGTCGATATTTATAACACCCTGCCTCGACTCGACACTTCGACTTTTGGTTCAATTGGTTTTTCTAGCTACAGGAAAACAGTTGAGTGTCTAGAACTATAAAGTTTACTCGTATGCTCGTTTTCTATTCCACTCGCCCCTATATACCTACCATCAAAGCACTGACACTTCCTTTTGTACATATTTACTCAAAAGTTTTCAATAATTTGACACCATTTAAGTATGTATTCACTTCCCATCGTTGTTTATGCAGCAATCCATGACTCAAATACAAATTTAAAAACTCAAAACATCATAAATTTACTGTGGCGTGATGAAATGTCATCTTTTATAAATTGTCATAAATTTTCTACAAAAGTTTTTTGGAATAAATATTTACCAAACTTGTGGCGATGGTTGAGAACGTCGTTGACGAAGATTACCTTGGCTGTCCTTGCAAGATGGTGACCGATCTAAAGAATTTGAACAACAAACTTAATGCTGAAGTGGTGGAGCAAGTGAATGATACACAGGAGCTGGTGATGCTCAATAACTTCGCTAGAGAATGCAATGAATACATCTTCAAGAAATGCCTTCAGGAAAGGTAATATCGCAAATGTTCACTCGAGTGGGATATCTGCGTGTCGAGTCACAAGTGTTTCTCTCTAAAAATAATATTGTTCTTACATTTGTGCCAATGGGAAAGACAAAATATATTGTAAATACATTTATATAAATTCAAGGCACTTCAATGATCAACGTCTAAATTACAACATATAAGTAAACACAATTAATCATGAAATTCATTTAGAAGTTACGAATGAATCGCACACAGTAACAGACTAGATTAAAATAGACTTATTTTATTTATACAATTCTTGCATCGAATTTAGAATGTCAACCATTTCATCCTGGCGTTGGGTATTGGAGGACTTAAGTAAACGGCTCAAGGATGGAATTGACGCACTCCAGTATGAGCACCACGCGTTGACCGTTGTTATTGATAGGATCGTGGATGAGCTGAAGGGTAACTGCAAACCTGGTGCCCTGACTCCAATGTGTGATGACGTTGAGCAAGCTATAATGCAGGTAATTATTATAAATGAGAATTTCAGCTTCTATCTTCGTTTTCTTTCGCGTCTTACCTACTTAACAAATCACCATACATTGTCAATACTATAGCAAATAATATTTATATTGCTTTCCATCCTGATAAAGAACTAGGCCAGCAACGCACTTGTGACTCCTGAGTTGCAGGCGTTCATGGGCAGCGGTAGTCGCTTTCAAATTCTAGTTAAATTCCCTTATACAAAGTAGTAGTAGTAAGTAACATGTGTAGACTTCTTATTTAATAAATCACACGACATGATTCTAGGAATGTAAGTTTCTTACAAAACAAAAGAAGAAATTCGAAAGCCTGACTGTAATATTGAGTGAACAGATAAAGTCTTTGGACAAAATTAGGCAAGATATCGAGAACGACATTTTTCAGAAGGAACAAGCGCTAAGTGTAGAAGAGAGTTGTGCCAAGATTAGTGTGGACACACCACCCTCATCCGAAACTCGGAAAACTACCAAAAAGAAGTGAGTAAACTGTGCTTTAGTAAAGATTGCGCCTTGCTTGTTTACGCTTTGTACTCTTTCGCTATACTTACGTTAATTAGTCATAGCCTTTTGATGCATGTCATGCTCATCTTTTTTAAATAAATTTATGACGATACTTTTTTGTATGTACTTGAATACCTTACTTTCCTAATTTAAAGTATTTAAGTATGATAGTTATTAATTTATTTTATTTAAGGATCTCTAACTTAGGATCTACACAAAATATCTAAAATACATTTCACACTGGTATTTGTTATGTGTACTCCTTCAATTACAGAAGACCACAGCATGCACGTTTACAACTAAGTAAATAATAATTTTATTATTCAATACAGCTTAAAACAAAAAAATGCTTAGTAGTAACAATAAAATGAAAGAGAAAAAAAATAACAAAAAAAGTATACCTTATAGTCGGTATTAAAGATTTGCTGTGTATTATTTCTAAACTCTAGGTCCACTACTTAAACATTAGCGAATTTCTATAATCTGTTATTAGAGAATACCAGAATAGATAGATTCTGGTACTTATTCTAATAAATTTAAGCTCATACTTTTGGCTCTATTAACGCGTTTCTTGCTGGCTAGAATGTCTTGTACTGTAATTATATTTAATTAGAGTTCAAGATATTCTAGAAAATGAAATAAACAAAAAGCAGACTCAACGAATTAAGATCTACACCACCAGGCTTATCTTCATCATGTATCATGTGTCAAGACATCTTGCGTTCTATAGGACACAATTAAATTGATTATGAAATACAAAGTTTATATATCAAAATATGATATGATATATTATATAATATGATATATTTATTTTTATCATTATACCAATAGTTAGGCGTTGGCCTTAAGGTTGCCCTTTACAAAGTGCATCTGATAATAGACTAGCATGGCAAACTTTGCTCTATTCGAAATATTCATTCAATTACCGTAAATCAAGCTCAATATCAAAGATGACGAAGATATACACTTACCTTACTTACTTCACGTCCTATATTTACTATGTATATAATTATGATAAGTCCCATGTTTTATTTAAACGTTACAGGAAATAAATTCTTAGCACAAAGCGTTTAATATCGAGAATTGTAAGTATACCTATATTGGATAAAGAACGGTAGATTCCATGGTTACCTCAATAAATATGGTTGATAAAAATGTTAATAAATAATAATAAAAATAACGTACCTATACCCAAAAATAGTAATGAATGAAACGTTGCAACTTTACACATTGCATGGCTTGTTCGATATATGTACATCCTACACAGGATATCGCCGTATTGCGGCAGTCTAGCTTAGGTATTACTGTTAAATTTAGGTTGTTAGCATAACATATTTAGACAATTAATTAATCATGAATCTTGTGATCTTATATCTTAAGTCCACTTAATAATCTAATGTTTATATTAATAGAAAGTCGCCAGTCGATATTTGGGAACAACGTTGCATATCATTGAAACGAGCTGGACTTCAAGCGTTATCCAGCGCCATCGTCACGAGGCAGCAGGTTAAGTATTTATTCCTATAAACATACTTAGTAAGCAATTGAGTGGCGTCCGTCGCGTGATCTTGTCTTTAAGGTACTATACCGCTAAAAGAGTCAGACCCTGGCCAGGATTTTAGTAAGCAATTGCAAATTTGTTGTTGTTGTTTGTTGTCAACGATATAGGATGCATTTCCTGAAGCAAGTAACTGTAAAAAAAGGTATATCCACTATCTGCTCAATATTTCTTTCTTTTTAACAAAAAATAATTGAATAACACCAAACAGAGCAACTATTTATAGTAGCGACCGATCCCCAACCAGTAGCAGTACTAATGACATCCTGTGCTTATTTAAATCTCTTCTAACACTACTTTTATTGCGTGTAGTTTAACTCTTGCGGTGGACACCAAAATAATGACAGAATACCACTTCTTTCTGTGTTTAGATTGATCAAGATGTAAATAAATACATAAGAATTCGCTAGTGAGGGTTAACCATATCCAACTTAAGAAAGAATGGCTCTACCAGTTAGGTAGCAATGCACAGAAACTTTTCTGCTACACTAATACTCTTTCTGACTCTCAGATACGAGGAGCAAGAGTTCATCTGTCTATAACAGCACAATCTTACACAGCAAGAGTAGATTCAGTGCTTAGGAGACGTTTGCACGTAAACAAACTAAAACTACAAGATCTTTATTGGCAAAGAGATGAGGTAAGGTTTTAAACTGGTTCTATTCAATATATGAGCACTTCGTATAACCAACAGATTTAGGGATTACTAAATTCGTAAAATAACAATAATAAACAGACACACAATCATCTCTTAGTAGAAATGAATTTCACGTTAACGATATTACCCTCATGAGTAGTAACACTTGGCTTCGGCCTGCGACAGACACCAGCATTTAGCTGAGATATTCAAAATATAAAAAGAAAATAATAATAATATCTCACACATCTCACACACTCTGTTCTACCAAGGACGATGTGTACTTTAAATTCTGATTTTATACACATCCACGTCTGTGTTAGGTAGTGGAAAAAATAAGAAGGGAGTAACTGTAAAACAGATTTCTATATAATCACTATTAATCACTTGTGAACTCTAGAATTCATCTCCCAATTCAAGATAGATACTTAACTCCACATATAAGCGGGCATTACGCTTCTTCAACTTAAGAAAAAGTATTTCTCTCCTTCCAAATTTGGAAAGAAAACTCCGAAATCAGTAGTATTTGCCGTTTTTTTTTAATAATAGTTAAATATTTTCACACATGTCACACGGCAGTCTGATCCCAAACTAAGCAGAGCCTGTACTATGGTAACCAGACTGCTAATAAACATACTTATATATTTTTTAATACATACATATTAAAGATAAATTACACTCAGACACAGAACAAATGACCGTGCTCATCACACAATATTTGTCCTGGGTGGGTATCCACAAACTCCAGCTTAGCAGTCAGGGTCAAAGAGGTGGTTATTATTATTGTTGTACAGTTGCGTCTGTAGAGCTATATCCGGAAGCCCCTGTTACCAAGTTAATATAATTCGTAGGCAGCACGAGACCACAGTGCTCTGGGAGAAGAATTAACAGCAACAGAACAGAATCTATTGGAGACGATGGAACAAGAGCGTGTTATTTTGGCAAGGCTTGCAGATCGCAACTTACGCCCCACAACAGAACTTACAACTGACGAAGTAGACAGGAGCTTGAAGGAGGAACTCGGAAGACTCAGGAACTTTATTAAAGTATTAAGGAAAAATCATAGTAGAATTACGTAAGTTCTCATTCTCTTTAGTTTCATCTGTACTGTATACTGCTCTCCCCTGCTTTCTTTAGTGTGGCGTTAAATAGTTTGTAGCCGTTATCGAGATTTACGCTAACGCGAATCAAATGTAAGAATAAGAATATAATCCAACAACCAGCCCGTAAGTATTATAATATTAGTTTTGATTATTCTGACCATGACTTGATTGGGCCCCATTGGTCTTCGTGATTTTTTAGCTGTCGACTTCTAATGAAAATGAGGCATGCAATTTACTGTTATACTGTAAATTATATTAAGAAATGACACGTTGTCTAGAAATTTCTGACGATTATTGGAGGAAAAGGATAGATTTTATACATATTAAACAATATTTTTTCAACATTCAGGGTCATGGGAGTAGTTGCTCACTGAGTAACCTTGTTGTAGAAATCTTATACCGATATAATATGATTAATTATTTCCTACAGAACTTTGCAAAACCATCTAACAGATTGCATGACCCGCATAGATTGCTGTGTCGAAGATATCTTACGAGTCGTGAAGATAGACGAGGAAAGAACTAGGCACAGGATGGGGGAAGTGCCAACAGACGGTCCAAACCCTCCAGATGAACGATCTCCATCCTCACCTAGAAGACAAGATGAACCTTTACAAATCATTACAGAGGAAGATGAAGACGATTATCCTATTAATTATTGAACATTTAGAAAACATTCTTCAATGTCTATTATGTACAGAAAACGGAGTGAATTTTAAATCATGCAGTTTGCATGTACATACAAATAATGTACACTTTCTCCACGTTCGCGTTGGTAGAAGATAATGGAATATATATTAACTGTTTTCAAGTAATGAAAATTGCTATACAATTAAGGGCGGTGAATTTTTACCTGTTTATTTCAAATGTCTCCTATTAACCCCCGTAACGTTAAAATTATACAAAAGAACCTCTCAAACTTAACTATTTCGTACCAAAAGGCCGTCTCCCTCTGCACCGATGTAGGTACTTATGTCATAGCACACTAAGTTCATTGTGATTTGCCCTCGTAAGTGTTCATTTGATGATTAAAAATAATCGTATCTCTTGATCGCACTTGATGGCTAAGAAGCTTGTTTTTTTTTTATATCAACTAGCATTAGTATTTATTTCAAGCTACATGCGTACAACGAACTTTAATAGGTCTTGACATACTAACAGATCGCCAAGAAAGTGTCCCTAAAAGAAAAAAGGAGTGTTTTTCTTGCTAGGGTTCTTCTAAAAGTTGTTCCTTCTCATCTACTCTTTAAAAGTCTAAAAGTATAAATATGCAGAATCAGAATACTGCATGATTTAAAATTCACCATTCTAATCTAAACGAAAATGAATGAAATCTTGAATACATTTTAAGTTTAAGGGTATAAAAAACATTGTATACAATCATCAATACCCAATATACCTAATTATATACATAGGTATATATTTATATATATGTATATTATGGAATTCAAAATTTTATAAGTTAGTATAATTAGGACACATTGTCTAAACTTATTCAAAAACGTCGTTACAGAAACAGATCACAGATGAGTTTATAGTAAAAACTCTGTAAAACAAACATTTTTTTAGAATATCTTGAAGTATTTCGTTTATTTTAGGCTTTTAAAATACCTGTATTTGTAATTTATGTTTTGATGTCAACTAATATGATTTGATAGTTTTTGTAAACCTTTTTTAACAATAATTTTTATTTTGTGAATCAAATCATAATTATATTATGATTTAAATTTACAAACGTTACATTTTAATATCACTTACTTCGGCACGTTATTGGATTTTTCCTTTTATCTGTAACTATTAATTAGTGAAGCACTTTCGACTTAGGTTATTTCTATTTAGGTGTTTTATATTTATATACATGTGTTACGTTTACAGATTAATAACATTAGTATGGGTTTTAGCATTTTATCACACACACTCCAAGAGGCAATACAATTGCGAGAGCTACCTTGACTCAATTTCCTTCAATTAGTACCTGCCTACAACTAATAAAAACTATATTTAAGTCAGAAAATTACGGGGCATGTAGGTACCTATAAGAAAAAAAAAGTGTGACTTGCAGATTAGTGTTGGGAGTATGTCTTGTTGTTGTTGTATTTTGACAAATTTTATGATTTAATAAAGTATTCGAATTGGCTTTTGGTTTATCTGAAATTAGCCTATATAAAATATTCGAATTTACAATCGCATTTTTGCCTAACCAAACCAAAAAATAATTAAGCCTATTTTCGCAATAGGACTATAGTCATACCTACATAATATATTTACAAATGTTTTGGAGATGTGAGACATAAATACACGGATATCTACTTTTAGAATCTGGTTTGAAAAATTTGCATAGATGATAAGTCGTTTACTCTCTCTGGTCGGTCCCTCAAGTCTTAGGATCATGGTCATCATAAAGGTTATACCTGAAACGGATGATGTCTCTTCGCCGGTTCCTGGCCAGCGCGTGTCTCAATACCGTGTATAATTAAGGGACGATGAGTCTTTAACTTGGTCGGTCTACCTTTATTGGTGCACGACCACGCGATCTTTTGCCTTCGGTATACCCAAATTTGTCAGCAACAGTCGTTGCTGATGCCAAAAATGGGCATCGCTTTTGTTACTTGTTTTATACAGATAATATTGTAAGGTGTAAACCGTTTGGGCGTGTGCAGCGTGCAAGCCTTGTCATTCGACTCGGTCGCGGCGACTCGATAGAACTTATGGCACTAAATGGCTCAGTGCAGCGTGCCAGCGACTGACGATCGGTGGTCGCACGACTTGCCAGAGGTACATACATTTCGATTGGGCAGGGCAACTTTTTTGCTATCCTTTTTATTGGTAGATGATCCGATAATCTTCGTATCACCTACATCAATTTATCTAAGTATATAACAATTACCCTTTTTTAATAGTATGTAATATGTAATCAAATGTGCTTATTTTCATTCTAAAATAATAAAAAAATGTGATGAAATTCGCCAAAATTCGAAAATTTTGTTGATTAGAAATCAAAAGATGGAGATAAGTCACTATAAGATAAACAAACATTCAGATTAGTAGAAAAGCAGAGTTAGAAGATTCTGTCCTGGAAATGAAGATATAGCCTCACTTCCTCCTAGCCTTTTATTCCCCAAACTAGACTGGAGTCAGCTTTTAAGTCTACTGCGATGAGCCTGAACTTCGATTTTTTACTCGAATGACTGCCATCAGATCTCCACAACCCAAGTACTAAGTGATTCTGAAGTTCTGTAGAAAGACTGGTGGACTTTTTCTCCAACTACTAACCATTGCCACAGATGTTCGTATGGCAACTTGGACCGACGGCTCAACGTGAGGGGTCTCAATGTGTTAAGAATGGTCACCCATCCATAGAATGACCTGGTCAGGATTGCTTAACTTTGCAATGTGTAATTTGTAACCTACTTGGTTAGCGCTTAGCCACGAGCCTCTCTGCATTATAGTCTCACTGTTAACAGTTATATGTATAAATATGTTCATATATATTGCAGAAGAATGCCTTAGTGATAACCGTACATGGGCCTCACCAAGACTTGGGTTTGTTTGCCCTTTCTTCTCATAAGGCTCAACCCCTTGGAAACGAGCGGTTGTAGATCGGCACAGGCATATAATGGATTAACTAAACTTTTGTAAACATTTAACAAAACAGATTGTTGCTATTTTTTATGTTGATCTATGACTTCAAAGTCAGACAATTTCAAATAATAAAAATAAATATATGGAATAAAGATGAGAGTTTGAGTTTGACTAAAATGAACTGCAAATTGTAGTAATTAATATTTATTTGTTCCAATGGAATCAATCATATTATCCGAGCTAATATGAATAAAGTTGCGATGTAAATATATTATATAGGAATTCAAGGAACTCCATTCAATATTATAACAGATATCTTAAGAGTTTGATTCAGATTTCACTCTTAAGTCAAACATCAATAACTGTTGTTCCGTTCGGAAATACCGAATTTTCAATACTGTATGAAATAAAAAGGGTGGTATATAATATTTAATACTGTTTTTGACTTTAATGAGTATTTATTATAATATATTTATAGGTTTTATAATTTATTGGGTAAATATTTTATTAATTACATCTATTTAATTACATAGACAATCAGAATTCACATTTGTTTAACTTTAAATATATATTTTAACATTCAAAAATCAGATCTTACACCACAGTTATTAATTTTAATCCCACATTTTCAATACTGTGACTATGAAAGCAAATTAAGCACTATAAGGGCTATTACACAATATAATTAATAATATCTAACAATATTTGAGAGATTGATTGAGATGTTATTCATTGTATAGTGTAATGTACCCTCAAAAGAGAAGAACATTAATGAAACACTTGCAAAACAACAATAAATTAAAGCAAAAATATTAAAGAGTTAAATTCAACATATTTCTAAAGAATCAGTTATTATTGTAAGAAAAACACTTGTCTATTTTAATTAAATCAAAAATTTCAATGTCTAAGAAATTCATAACATAACTGAACTTGAAGGAACTGTTTAGCCTCAACAATAACTGTGGGACACCATATCCTATAAACCAAATTGATTTAAATGAGCTTCACTATGAACATGGCTTCGGATACCCTGTGTAGTGCAAAGAACTTCCATATGGCATTTCTTGCAATAAGCATTTGTGTCATGTTCATTTGCTAAATAAGATTCTATAGACAATTCCTGGTCTTCAATTAAGTCTTCCATCTCAGCAAACCATTCCATATGGTGCTCATCATCATCAATATGACTGAGAATATTACGGATTGTGTTGTCCATGTATACATCACAAACTTTACACCATACAACTTCATCGTTATCTACTGAGAATATACCGTTGAGGGGTTTCAGGCGCTCTGTAATGTTCGTCCGGTGATCGATGTTATTCACGTGCTCTTCAATACACTGCAGCGAGCAATCAATGTTGCAGTTGCACACCTCACATAAAGCATAGTCTTTTTCGCTTGATAGATAATCATCTACAGTTATAAACTCACCGTCTATAAGATCCTCCATCGCGGCCATCCAGTTTGCATGGTCCTCGTCATCTATATGCTCTAAAACAGATTCTTCATGAGGCAAATTTCTTTTACAAGGCTTACAATGCAAGGCATCACTGATGAAAGCAATCCCATTTTCGTTCATGAGTTCGATGTTTTCTTTGTGTCTTGCTCCATTTAGGTGCTGTTCAATGCATTTGCTTGCCTTCGGAATGAAAACACCGCAAAATATGCAACGGACTCGGGTCTTGGAACTAGCAACAACCCCGTATAATAAACCTGTTTTCATTGTTACCTAGCAATTCTTATGTTATATTGTTACTTATACTGGATTTACACGTTTGAACGACGGACTCTATTTAAAAATGTGAAACTTGAAATTTCGCGAAATTTTTTTAGTTGACTGTTTTGTTTGACAGGACAAGTGATGTGATAGACAGATAGACTTCGAAGTTTTTTTTTGGTTGTGAGAAGCAGTGAGCCATGAGCGATCCAGAAATTTTATATTTTAGGATTGGCAACTCTACACACAAATACACATTTTAAATAATGTACATAGAATATTTTGTTCCTATTTTACAAATTCTTATTTTGGTAAACATTATTAAATGTGTTCATCCAGTCTCGTAGCAATTGACCTTTGGGCTAGAGCTACCGGCACAAAGATTTTCATTCCACATCCTACTTGTCTCCTCTTTAACCCTAGAAAACTAATCTGAGTCATTTTGACTCGCACCTTACACATTTCTTGCTATCCTTCTCACTATTCTTTGTATCATCTCAGTCACTGGTTAGACGTTCACGGGAGCGACAGTGTTGTGTAGGTAAGTATAACTATACTGCAAGACATCTTTAAATGGAATATTTATTGGGCTCTAATATCTTCTAAAATATTCATTTATTTATTTATTTATTAATAAGTACCACTACATCATACATATTATACTTATAACTAGTTAATAATGATATGCTGTAAAAAGAAATTTCAATCTACATTAAATGCACATCGTATCTAACGTATTTAATTCGATAAAGAATGATAATAATAATAATAATAATATACTTTATTTCTCTTCACAATGGTATACTTATAGCTAGTTACATTTACACAGTCTAGACTAGTTTTCATATGTGAAGAGCTGGTGTCTGTGATGGGCATAGAATGCCTGTGTTACAAATCACCAGGTCCTCACCCCACGGACATACAGATACATTGTTGACCGGTGTATTATAACAAACGAGTTTATAAGTACTTATGAAAAGAGTAAGTGTGGGATATCTGTGAAAGTGTTTGATGTGTAGAGTAAAACGTGTCGCATGAAGTGTATTGTTTGTGTGTGTTGTGTGTGTGTGTGTGTGCGCGCGTGCGTGTGTGCGTGCGTGCGTCACACACGCACGCGCGCACACACACAGTGCGTGCGTGTGTGAGTGTCTGTGCAATAAAGTGTTTGAGTCAATTTGAATGGAGTAGGTGTTCTGTGCAATTGTAATTTAGTTTCTGTAACCAGTTCATAGTCAAAAACTTACATTTTGTTTTTGGTAAGGGATATAAACTTAGCGCGCGATTTAATTTATTATATAAAGTTGGACCTTGGTAACCAAAAAAACGATGTGCAAGACTGGTCCTAAACAATGGTACAGGGCAAACTTTATCCTTACGACGCTTGTGTCGGTTTTTTTCCGGTTCATATGTTGTTACACAATGTTGTTTAACCACCGTATGCAATATATAAAGTTGTCGCACTGTCAAAGCTTCTGATTTTTTGTAAAGGTCGTCCGTTGCGTGGTAAAAAGGTAGGAACAAGCTTACTTTCAGAAGGGCTCTTTGTGCTCTCTCAATTTTAAGGAAGCTAGTTTTACATGCGCCACCCCAGGAGGTGATGCAGTACGTAAGCTGAGATTAACAGAGGGCATAGTACACAGATTTAATAACAGCTTTTGGGGCAACTTGTCTTAAAGCTTTAAACAAAACTATTAATTTGCGTACTCTCGCAGCAAGAAGATTGATGTGCTCATTAAATTTTAGATTTCTGTCAATGATTACGCCTAAATATTTGGTTGATGCAGTATTTTTAAGCTCAGGGCATGAGCAGTCTGTATCATTGACATTACGACACGAATGTGAGATTATACGAAGAGAGGGATCAGGTGCGTCATTGGATTTGGTTGAGAACGTTATATAAGTAGACTTTGCGACATTTAATGTGAGCATATTTTTATTCAACCATTTTGTAACGGTATTCATTCCTCTCCGGGCATTTAAAAATACTTCGTTCTATGAATTGCCACAAAAGAGTACAGCAGTATCATCTGCAAACGTGACGATCTTTGTATTTGGAAGCTCAATCTGGCAGAGATCGTTAATGTACACTAGGAACAAGGTCGGACCCAAAATACTGCCCTGAGGAACACCAAAGTTGACGGGTATCTCTTCGCTGATTGTATCACCGATTTTTACACATTGAGTTCTATCAGTCAAGTAATCTTGTATAAGTTTCAGTTGTAGATCCCTGACACCGATGGTCTCAAGTTTTTTTAGCAGGATAGGGACAGAAACTGTGTCAAACGCTTTGGCTAAATCCAAAAATAATCCTATAGTTTTCTTTTTAGTGTCTAAGTTGTTGACTATGTAGCTAGTAAGATCCAATACTGCATCTGCTGTGGATCTTTTTGCTCTGAAACCATATTGTGCTTGTGACAATAGATTTTTATTTTCCAAATATTTAACTAGTCTATTGTTAATAATGCGTTCTAGTATTTTTGAGAGAGTAGGGAGGATGGAGATAGGTCTATAATTATTGACACAGCCTCTGTCACCACTCTTATGTATTGGATGAACTCGTGATTTCTTATAGATTTTTGGAAATACTCCGGTTGTAAGAGACAGATTACATATGTACGTTATCGGTGATACTAGAATATGCGTATTTGTCTTTAAAATGTCACTAGATATTCCGTCCAGCCCAACCGAGCACTCACTTTTTAAGCCTGCTATTAATGTCCTGACTTCATCATCATCAGTGGAAAGAAGAGTAAAAGAATGACGGCATGAATGATCATGTATTGCTCGAGATAGCTTCGTAAATAACTCATTTATTTAGAATATATTTATAAAGGTAAAAGTGGTTACTGTACTGTGGGTTGCCCTTAGGAGATAGACATTGCATATACCATCGCGGACTTTTTTTATATCTTTTTAAGTAGTACATTTTGATTTAACTTCTTTAAAACTAACTTTGAAATTCTTGGATTTTCTCTACTACAATATGCATGTTTAAATAAACCTTCCTCTTGAATCACTCTCTCTATTGGTCAAAACCGCATCAAAACCCTTTTGCTTATTTTAAAAGATCTTCTACACAAAAAAGGGACTTTATTTTATAGTACGTTAAGATTTCTGTGTTACGCAATAAACAGGGGTAAATAACGTTATGAGTTTAGGCAAAAAGTTAAACGTACCTAAAATAGATGAATCGAAAAAAGAAAGTTCAATTGCTTTATGGTAAGTTAGTAGTTGTCACAATGACAGAAATATGACAGTGGCATTTGTTGACATATTTGACGCATGCCCAATGCTCCCTCCCGATTGTCTTAATTTGTCTCAAACAAAATAAAAGATCTGTAGGATTTGCGCACAAATCTGAATATCAAAAAATCAAAATGTCTCAAGACTCAGATACCGAAGCCAAATTCTTGGCAAATGTCACAGATTCTATGAACAAGTTGATGGTAAATTCAAAACCATAGATTGCTATTTATTTTTCTATGTACAAAGAAAATTAAACTGAGGTCAACGTGAATCAGATTTACAGTACGCGAATAGTACCCGCGTTAAAAAAAATGTTTTCTTTTTACAGAAAGAACTTCATGAATTGTATGAATTTAGAGATCTGTTTTTCGAAAACCATCCTATAGAAATGGCTGCAGAAAAGAATCAAAGACTTGAAGAGCTAAAGAAAGTGTTGGCTGAGAAGTTTGAAGAAATTGATGGTTAGAACTTTCTTAGCATTTAAGAGTTATCTGATTAGGAGCCACCAAATTTCTAGTATAAGTTTTGACGTAAATACATAGTTGTTTTAAAACAAGCGGTGGTAGTGTTCTGGCTAAGTTGATTGTAGGTTCTAAATACAGCCAGTACATTACCAACCTAAACCTAATCTACTTACATAAATTATAAGTAAACACTGATTCACAGTTCATTAATAAGGAAAACACAAAAGTAAACCCCAATTTAGACCTACTCCAAATACAAAAATCAGAAAAGAACTTGTAATGTGTGGTCAATGTTCCTAGGATTCTTTAGAAAAAAACCCTTCAGTATTATAATCAATTTTTTTACTATGTCAGGTTTAGTGATAGTAATAATGAATGCCATTTTCTAATAAATTTAAAACCAAATTGTGAAAACAAAGAATTTAAAAATATAGTTTCGGTAGATTTTAATTATCTTCCCATATCTTTCTTGAATTTGAAAATTTGAGATAACATTTTCAATTATGCACTAAACACTTATAAGCTTTCATGCTGGTAATAGTTGAAAATCTAAAATTCTTCAAAGCAGCCATTTTTCATCTCCAGTTGTTACCGGTTACTTTATAAGCTCTATTATTATAAACTAAAAAGCAGAGAACTGCAAATGGTCTAAAAACTGATTGCAGTTGTTTTAAGTCAATTCATGTAGGACCTATTTGCCAAACTTTTGAATCTTACCTTACCTTAGAGTACACAATTGAAAACAAATAGTTTTGAACATAGAAGGCCAATTCTCGTCAAAAAACTTTGGTCCCAATTCAATTCCGAACAACTCTTGATCTCACAACTGTCATAAAAGGTATTTCATAGTAAAGTATTAAACATTCAACGTTGCCTGTAATATGATTATAAGTAAGTGGTGGTTTTTTTTAATTTTTATTTATCAAATACAAAAAAATATAATTCTTAAAGTCTTTCGTAAAAGCATTCTTAAACCACTAAGGTTTGTAGTGAATGCTACAAGTGGTCTACAGTCATATTATACTTACAAAATAACGACACCTACACAGGTGTTGAAAGTAAAACATTGTACTAGATAGTGTCAATTGTTCTGCATCTGGGTGTACTTTATCAATTACTAGCTGACCTGCGCAACTTCGTCTGCGTGTCTCAATAGTAATAAATTTTCTCCGTTTTGAAACATTCTTCATTGGTGCTCCGCTCCTATTGGTCTTAGCGTGATGATATATAGCCTATAGCCTTCCTCGATAAATGAGCTATCTAACACTGAAAGAATTTTTCAAATCGGACCAGTAGTTCCTGAGATTAGTGCGTTCAAACAAACAAACAAACAAACAAACTCTTCAGCTTTATAATATTAGTATAGATATGTATGTATGTATTTAGAAATACTTACTTATGTTTATCAGCAGTCCGGTTACCATAGTACAGGCTCTGCCTAGTTTGGAATCAGACCGCCGTGTGTGCGATGTGTGAAAATATTATTATTATTAGTGTTTTATTAATAAATAAGGCTGGTTTAACAACATTTACAGGTTTTTCAAAGGCTTTCCATGTTCTGGAGAAAATAGAGTTCAGTTTATATTTAATATTACTTGGAGTAATTGTATTTCGCAAACCAGAGGGTAGTTTATTTATTGGTTGAGGAACTAAGTACAGCGATGTGCACTAGCCCAGTGTTGTTAGCGAGGCCCGTCCATAGCCGGTTTCGAGCGGCCGCCCTCGTGAATACAGGATGCTGAATATCATTTTCTTTTAAGTTGTAATTATAGAATTGCTCTTTGAGAATTATATATTTAATTTTTGTATGAAAATAGTACAATGCCTGAATAATCCATGTTTGTCGATTTGAAGTTGGTCATTAATTTTCTTTGAAACAATTTTCAGACGCTCGTAAGCCTTAAGTGGGTCCCTATCAGCTATAACGAGGCATGTATCATCTGCGAACTGATAACATGTGTGTGTTGTTGGATGCCATAGCTCATGTCATTTACGTGTGACAGGAAATCAAGGGGTCCAAGAAGAGAACCTTGTGCTGTACCCTCTTTAACATCAATTTCATTACTTGAATGAATTGCCAATCTTGACGGCGTACTTTAGGTGTTGTAGATAGTTTTCGCACTAGTTGAGGACCTTTACGCTGGGTATACCTAGTACGTAGAACAACTACTTCGCGTTATGACTAAACTTCATTTTTGATTAGCTTTCAGCCTAAGTGTCTGTTTGTCTAAGTTATAGTTTGTCTACTTCGCTTAAGAATTACTTCGCTATAATTAAATTTTTATTATCGTTATAATTTAAAAAAAAGTTAAATAATAATTTTGATAAATGATTCAGGTAGAATCATTCATCAAAACTATTATTTAACTTTGAAGTGATAATGTAACAGTAATTTAAGTTTTATCAGAGATCTAATGTAAGTTTAAATGTATTAATGGATTAAATAAAATTTGAGTTTACCCCCTTTCGATTACAAAAAGAATTTTGAAAATTGGTCCACAATTGACGGACAATTGCCGAATTGATAACCTCCTCCTTTGTGTTTTTGAAGTCTGTTAAAAATATCTTATATCAATGTCCAAAGGGCCTAAGGGATTAAGGAAAAGTTACTAGCTTTAAAAGTCTAAGAGTCTTTCTCGCTACTGAACTATATCGTAGTAGGTTTAACTCTCTTTAGGCCTTACTCGCTATATGATCTATATCGTAGTAGGTCTAACTATATTTATGCCTAAATCGCGATTTGTTTAGTCTTAACGCGAATAAGTTGTTCTGCGTATTAGTTATACCTTGCGTAAAGGGTTGAGAAGTGGGCCACGTACGTATACAACCTTTTTTTGTTTAAGGTGTTCGTTAACTACGTCAGTAAATTTTGTTAGGAGGGCCGATGTCCCTTTACCAGTTTGAAATCCCTATTGGTTGGGGACGATAACTTATTTTATCAAGTGAAGTATAACGTAGAATCCAGGGGCTTCAATAGGATTTTAGATCTGATAAATTGATCGTGCAGTTAAGGAGTAACGTTTTTAACGGCTTTGTTGTAACCTGTCACCAAATTGTCTGCCATCGTTTTAGTGGTGAGGCCCTGTGCATCGAAAGCTTGGACAATCGCTGCGTCGATTGACAAGGTCACACGGCGCGGCATTTGATTGACAATCCTATGAACTTTCTTGGTATTGAAGTTTTTCACTCACACAAGACCAGTTAGTTTTTTGGTAATATTTTTATTGCACTTGAAGCACTTAAGTGGCATTGTGGGTAGGGATAAATTTTAGTCAGCTGTCGCGCACAACCTTTCAATCTGACACAACGACGTAGACTGGAGTGCCCTATGGAAAATTTTGGCCTATATTTAAAAGTAGGACTATAATAAAAAGATGTATAGAAATAGTAAAAATGTGTATTTGTGTTGTTGATTTGCCTATGACTCTGAGTAATATGTAAGTAGTATTTTTTTGTCAAACAGTTGTCACTCATCTTTTGTCTTTTAACGCCTGCGCCCCTCGGGCCGTCACCCCACCGGGGTTTGCGGGGTGGTGTGTCGGAATCGGACCGACTAAAACCAAACGGTGTGCCACTCTTTTTTCTTTATTTTATAAGGGGGCAAACGAGCAGACGGGTCACCTGATAGTAATCAACTACCGCCGTCTATGGACACCTGCAACTCAAAAGTCACAAGTGCGTTGCTGCCTTTGGAGTCCCTCCCGCTCGAGTCAGCGGGAGAGCGGATTCGGACTCCGGTAACCTCACTCACTCAGTGAAAGGAAACGAAAGAATTGCTTAACACCGGTTTTCTGTGAGGCCGTGCTCCGGCTCCGGCTCTCCCACTCTGCGCCTGTAATAGAAGGGATCTGGGGACTGCTGTTATTAGGACGTCCGGACCCCTCCTAGCGCCTGTCCGCAACGGCGCGGGCACCACCTTCGGGTACATTCTCTATTAGGCGACGTCCGGCACACGCGGACGTCGCCTCCTCGCGGCTGGCCGTTATGGCGGGTAGAGCCACCACAGCGGCCACACTGGATATCACAAGTTTGAGTTGTATTTACAGTGAAACTTTTTCAATATAAGATTGAAATAAGAATTCCACTGTGTTCCATTTTACATTATTAGTGCCGATTTTTTACTGTATTTGTTTATTATTTTACTGTTTACTTACTTAATAAAAGTATTCCTTTTCATACTTTTCATCCATATTTTATTAAGTGGTCCTCTACTCTTCTACCCGTAAACGTTCATACATATGACTGCTACACATTATGCTCATCCCTTTGCATTCTTTTTGATACCACACTAGTCTATTACATATCGATTTTTCAGTCATACGCACACGTAAAACGTTAATAGCAAAAAGAAACAAAGTTTTTTTATGTTACAGATTCTAAACTCCCTTCCGCCGAACGTGCCAAGTTTCTCTATATGAAAGGACGAACTTATAACATTAGTCGCACATATGATGCAAGGGCAACAGAATGTCTCAGCAAGGCTGTAAAATTAAATCCACATTTTGTAGAGGCTTGGAATGAACTCGGAGAGTGTTATTGGAAGAACATGAACGTAAAAGAGGCAAAGGCTAGTTTTGAAGGTGCTTTGAAGCATGTGAGTATCATGAAACAGACTTGTTTGTCTTCTTGATTACACTTTGTAGATCATGTCTTTATTCTTCTTAACTCACTATATTGCCAATATAAATGATTTTAAGTGTAGTAAGCAATATTTGTACGTTAGTACCTAACTTGGGACTGGTAAATACATTTTCTACTCTATGAATAATAAATATGCTATCTCTTGATAATACTTGATTGCTTACTACTTATCCATGATAGTTGTCTTTTATTAATATTTTGAGTACATTATTCACTTGTTAAACATTCAATTGAATAAAATAAATAATTTACACAGCCTGGACTGTGGTGCCTATATTTATTTGTATCCATATTCATCAACCTATCTCTGTCCACTGCTGAACGAAGGCCTCCCCCAAGGAGCGCCAGCTATCCCGGTCTTGGGCAGTATCCTGCTATTACTGATAATAAAAATACTTATGATAATGTACCATTGTCATTATTTACTTTTATTTCCTTCAGTTACGAAGTTAGGAGTTTGTTTTTCTTGACTCTGGCCAACCGAGGCATGTTTCGGCCTAAAATGAAGCAAAATTTACACTGAAACCAAAAAAAGTAATTGTAACCTTTTATTATCTGCAGCAACGCAACCGTCTCTCCTTACGTTGTCTCTCAATAATTCTCCGTCAGGAAATTGGCCCTAGAAAAAGATCAGAGGTCATTCCGACCATCCTGAAAAGTGTAGAACTTGCCAAAGAGGCAGTGACCCAGGATATTAAGGATGGAGTGTCCTGGTCTGTTCTGGGTAATGCCTATTTGTGTCAGTTTTTCACCGTGGCTCAGGATCCGGCAACATTGAAGCTGTGCATGAGTGCATATAAACAAGCCGCTTTGGATCCAATAGCAAAAGGACAGCCTGATCTTTATTATAATGAAGGCATTGTAAGTTGTTTCCTTTTAATTATTTATAATTAGTTAAAAAGTATCTGTTAGATTAGTAAAATTGGTGTCCAGAATTCGAGAGTATATTGTGGAGTACCGTAGAGGAATAAGGGTATGTCCTACGAATGTCATGAGAATGAGGCTAGGTGATCATGCCTGGCGGAGGACGATGGACGGGAAAATTAGTTGTTGGGAAGTTGTATATGCAATATGTACATATAATTATCATCGAAATAAATTTCATTGGATTAGCATTTACTCCGTAATTTGAAGTATTTTAGTTAGATGTTATTGAGGTATCTTTTCATAGATTATGGATGTCGCCACAATAGTATACGTACAAGATAATTGTGCCATGTAAGTTGTACCCATTTTTAACAATAAGTATTCTTTTATTAAATTGTGTTTATGATTTTAGTCAAAGTAACTAATAAAGTACAGTAAATATATGAAATAAGTAAAGTAACATTTATAAAATACTAAGTTTCCCAACTTTTTAAGTCTAAGTTAACAATTATAAAAGGTAAAACATACATACACTACTCGTAAGTATCGTAAGTGTAACTATGTATATTCTTACTTCTTTTTTACTCTTTTTATCTTGGATTGCCAACAAATGATACAAATATCATTCAATTATGGGAAATCACAGCTAACACAAATAAAACTAATACCATTCTAAATAAAAAATATGAAGACATAATCATAGAAAAATAGAAAAGAATATAAAAACAATTACGTAACTATTAAAAAAAATATGAATAACTTTAAGTGCATTTGAGGCTTTTCAATTATTCCGTTACGAAATGTTTTATTTTGCCTGTTTTTGTTTCCACCTTAAAAAATATTTTCACGTATATTTTCAGGCTTTAAAATATTCAGAACAGTACTCTGAAGCCCTGGAGAAGTTCTCGTACGCGTGTCGTCTGGACCCCTCGTGGGCTCCCCCGCGCCAGGAAAGCTCTCGCGTCCTCAGCTTCACGCAGGCCGCGACCACACTCGTACGCACTCGTGGGAAACTGAAAGCTAAGAGGCTCGCTACAATGGTCCAGGTAGCAATTGCATGTTATTTCCATGATAACACAAAATGAAATTTCGTTACCGTTATGTATTCATATAATTACAGTTTTATAATGACAGGGTTCTACATATTTATATTTCTTTATCTATCAATTTTATTTTAATTATGACCATGCACAATGAAACCATTATTCGACTGCGTCTACTTAGCGAAGGTAGCACAATAGTTATTCTTCATGAAAACTTCGTCCATAATCGCACAAACAAATCTTTCAGTTTCTCCGAAGAGTCGTAGACGTAGTCAAGTCGTAGATGCTTTTAAGCCTATATCGGACCCGTTTAGGGCCCGATAAAACTGACCATGGAGATCAAAAGTTCTTCCACACTTTCCTGCTATTTGATTGTGTAGGGTCTTGATATTTAATAGTCCGCGACCCCCAAACTTTCGCGGGATATACAATCTCATAACCGATGAACGTGGGTGGTGGATACGGAATGCAGTCAGCAGTGTACGGACTCTCCTGTCAAGGGCATCTGATTCGGTCTGAGTCCATCTAAGTATACCCAAGGAAAACATCAGAACCGGCATGACCCAACCATTGCAGGCTCGCACCTTGTTGCCCCCTGATAAAAGACTTAAGTATAAAGAAAAGACTATGATATACCCAGATACTTGGAAGTTTCAGTGGCAGACAGAGATCTGAGTATTGTTGAATCTGAAAGCTCTGTTCTTTCAGATCCTATCCTTCTTTCTTTACATCCTTCCTTACATCCTTACATCCTTCTTTACATAGATGACTGCACACTTGTCTACACCAAATTCCATTTTGATAGAATTACTAAAGTTTTCTGTCACCTTTAGTAACGCTGACAATTGTAATTCAGTGGGGGCTAGTAATTTCATCCATCTATATAAATCATCCATATAAAGAAGGTGAGATATAACTTGATCATCTTTCTGCAATCTGTAGCCTAATCCTGAACACTCTAATAAAGTACTAAGAGGGTTCAAAGCCAGACAAAACCACAAGGGACTCAATTATTATGATTATTATATAGAATGCATTTTCCCACAGTCAATCGATAAAAAAATGCTGGGCATGTACAGCGAGGGAAGCTTGCATAGTTTCGGGCGCGGCCGCGAGGTGGCGCTGGAGCTGGTGCGGCTGGACGCCTTGCAAGAGGGGAATAATGAAGCCAAAGTAGTCCTCGGCAAGGTCGTCGGTTCCATACATAATGACAACTCTGTTCCTTTGTAAGTTTATCATATTTTATTAAAATTAATTTTGATAAAACTAAGATAACTAACACTTAGCTAAAGTGGCTTATTTTTTAATAAATAAGAAGTTCTCTTTGGAGTATACATTAAAAAATGTTACTAAGTTATCGAAAAGCATAAATAATGATTGCATATCTATAGCAATCAATTAAATTATAGAAGATTTTTTCTTAATGCATTCTCTGTGAGTGGACTCTTCCTAATAGTTAAAATTCCTTTTACCACGTTTATATACACAACCCACTAACTCGAGCGTCGGATCTCCCAAACACTTTCAAGCAATTCTTTTGTGTCACAATTAGTTTGTAAAATTTACTGGGAGCCCCATTTTAACACTCAATTCTGGAGAGGGACTAAAAGGCGCTACACACTGTCTCTTGAGTTGCGGGGGCCAATGAGCGGCGGTAGTCATTTCCCATCAGGTGACCCATCTACACTCCTTACACCATAGTGGTCGACATTAGAGGGTAAAACTGTTACTATGCATACTTATGTACAATCCTATACTAATAATAAAAAGAGGTAAAGTTTGAGTTTGTATGTTCAGGGTAATCACTGAAACTACTGGTTCGAATTGATGAATTCTTTTAGTGTTGGATTATCATAGTACAGGCTCTGCCTAGTTTGGGATCAGACGGCCGTGTGTGAGATGTTTGAAATTATTATTATTATTATTATTATTGAAAATGTACAGAAACTGTTTTGGCTTTGACTATATATATATTTTTTTAAATTGTTTCAGCACATTTGCTATGGTGGATGAAAGTATGGAGTGTATACTCGTGACGGTGTACAACTGGGCCGATGGACGAGGAGCCATAATAGGTGATTGTGTGACCTTGCCTGAGCCTCAGCTAACTTCACATAAAGTTGATTCTGAGCTTGCGGTGAGTACAATAATTTGACAAGAAATATTTTCACCTTAATTTTATTATCATAATAGTTATTGTTAAGTTCATTCTTCGTTATTCAGCCAAGTTTTCAAGAAATTGAACTTTCAGTTCCTATTATGTAGTAATATATATTTCACTTTAATATGTTAGTAAACATGACGGTCCTGTTGCTCTAGTACAGGGATTCCCAAACTATTTTGGGCAAATGAACTGATATTTCAGACCCCCTCGATTTGTTGAGTTTTTTTAAAGTACAACAATGATACTTCTTACTAAACTATAATAGTCATTTTTATAAGAAGTTGGTATACGTAACACAACTAATACAGTATTTTGAAAGTTTCAAATTAATTCAAATAAGAACTTGTTTTAATTAATAGGGCTCGATTTTTAGACCTCGTCGACCCCCAAAATCAGTTTTCGTTTTTCGACCGCTGGAAACCGCTTTCGACCCCAAGGGGTATATCAACCACTTTGGGTATCCCTGGTCTAGTAGTTACCCTGACTACTAAGCTGGAGGTTTTGAGTTTGATTCCCACCTGGACAAATATTGGGTGATGAGAACGATCATTTGTTCGGTGTCTGGGTGTAGTTTATATAGAATGTGTATGTATTTAGAAATATATAAGTACGTTTATCAGTAGTCTGGTTATCATAGTACAGGCTCCGCCTAGTTTTGGATCAGACTGAGATGTGTGAGGTAATTATTATTATTTGTCAATCTGTTGGTGTATACTGTGCAGGGTTTTTTTAGGTCTATATGTAAGAACTGTGCCATACTCTATAGTAATTTACAGTTAAATTGGTATACACTGTTAGAATAACATAAATCAATATACATATATACATGTAACATTTAAAATGTTTTGACCACAGTCATGACATCAGTATCATGATGTGACAGACATACACGATTAAGCAAAATGTGACCAGCACGCCACGGTCATTACTGTATGACAATTTGTATTACGTAAACTGTATCTATTTATTTCATCTATATTAGTATAAGATCACAAAACCGAACACTAGTTTTTAGGTTTGAAATCGTAGCTTTGCGCCGAGAGCACGCTTTTGCTTTTTTGACGTGGCTGTCAATGAGTTAAAAGTGTGAAACATGTCTTTACAGAAATACGAATTCAAATCGATTCGCGTGAACAACCCGATGGTGCTGCTGGTGAACGGTAAGCGCGTGGGGCGCAACCAGGTCGCGAGCACCTGCGTCACCAGCACCTACGAGGCGCACTGAGCCCGGCCCCGCTGGCTCCGAACACGCACACACTGCTTCTTGCCTGCCTACACAGATAACTTTAAAGTATGGCCTGTTACTTCTTTACATGACTTTTAACTATACAGAATGTCCTATTACATAACATTGATAATTTTATACGTTATGTATAACATCTGTTTTTTTCCACTTTCCTGATCCGAGGGCCCAGTGTGAGCTTTCTCCCTCAAAAAATCTGCACCAATCGCAGCACCGAACGCGCTCGCCGTCGAGAGCGAGTCGATGTCATATAAACTTGCACTAGGCTCTCTGTGCGATGGAGTACCCGTTTTTCATTCTATGTATTACTTTTACCATGTTACGTTTTTAGGACAAACAATTCCTTAAATGTCATTTTGAACCAAAAGAGTAAGATAAGTAAAGAGTACACAACCGTAATGTAAATAAAAATGGAATCGGTACTAAATTATAATAGTCCATTTTCTTAATTTATTAATGTATATTTCTGGTGGTTTTAATTATCTTGTTTTTAAAATCGAAGTTTCTTAGAATCAAAAATCTGTAAATGTACTTAATATAACATGACTAAACTGAACTAAAAATATAATAATTAAAAAAAGACATTTTAGATCTCATTCAAATATAAAGCTTTATATACATTTATTTTAAGATTTTTTTAACTGGCAACTTTAGGCTTATCTGTTTATGCGTTCGGTTGTAAAATATGAAGCTCAACCAACATCAGCTGGGCAAGAAGCGAATATATTACATACTTTTTACTAGTCTATGTACTGGAATTATTCTAGATGTTACGAAATTTAATGTGCTACCACACTTTCAGAACTTGCACCTAAGATAATATTCGCATGCTTTCTTAATTTTTGTTTATTTATTCTTTTCTGACAGAGTTACACCACTCCTGTTAATTTTCAATCAACCTGACACAAATTAATGGAGAGTGGTTCTGATTTTTATTAGATGGTAACATTCATGATATTTGTGATTAAGCGTCCCTCGCGAGCTTTCAACCTAGTCATATGAATTTGTGTAAATTAGCTATAAGGTGTTGATAAGGATTTTTGCATGTTTAAATGCTTAGAAGAAATATGACAATCTAAAATAGACTTAGAAACAATTCCTACCACTAAGGATTAAATACATTTCTTTATTTCTCTAATGTATACCCACTAATTATTAAAACAAAAATAGCTTTTCATCACAGTACGTATTATAAGTGTAATAAAAAAGTGTGCAAAAGAAACCTTGAAAAAAGGAGTAATATTTTTTTATGACGTTTTTGTCTCATTCTATCTTATGAAAATGGCGGAGCGAACCGCACTGGTGAGGTTGTAATCGTCTTGAATATAATTTTAAGACGGAAGATTACCATGTGATCTCTATTTTAAGACTTATTTTGATTTTTTCCTAAACGTAACGTTATTGTAAATCCAAATGAATGTATGGATAGCGTGACCCTCATGGGTTTACTATTGTTAGACTAAATACTATTATCAAAGTTGATAATTGACTGACTGACCATTAATACGAATTTGTAAATAATTAAATTGTTAAATGTGTCTTTATTAGAGAATAATACTCAATAATATGTATTAGATATTTTAACACAATGTGTATTTAATCAGTTTTATTGTAAATTTAACATTTTGCTGACCTTTAAAAGCATATACCTAAATATTTTGTGTGTGAAGTCGTGTCTTATATCTGCAATTATTTTAAGATTTTATAAATAAATTACAGAAATTAAAAAATGTTTGTATGTATTATTAAATGTGTTTATTCTGAGTAGAATAATGTGTCGTTGATGTCACAAATTTGTGTATTACTTGTTGTATGTTATCATATAATGATAAGTTACTTGTTAGTTTATATGTACTAATAAATGAAAATCGTGTTCTAAGTTTTCATTATGATATTGACAGCTTTGGCTGAAGCTAAATCATCTGACTAAATACTAGTAATTGCTTTTTTATTAAAAGTAAAACTAAAACTCAGTAACAGCTTGCCCGACTGAGAGGAACAGGTTCTAATTATAGGATGTAGTACACAATCCCAAATATAGATGGCGCTATGAGTACGATTCGTTATGGGCTCACTAAAGGCACATACCCTTGACATGCCCATCATTTATTAGTTAAAGATGTGTACTTAATACCTATCGTGGGCGCGTTAATTCCAGTAAATGAAATGGTACATTATGGAACGCGATAATTTAAAAATGTATTCTGATACATATTTGTTTTACTTAAACCAATAGTTATTTTGATAACTTTTCCTCTTTATGTATTTTGTAGTTGTTGATACGTTTTACTTCTTAACTGTAAGTTTTACAAAACAAACATTGTAACCTGTAATAATTGTCAAGCTCGTGAAGACTCGAAATCTGTCACATACATAATACATTTGATAGGACTCATAGCGCCATCTGTGTTCGTAATTTGAAAATTATACCACTAACTGTAAAAAATTAAACAAATCTTGTTTAACTACAATTTGGTAAATTTAATCACCGAAATGAAACCACGAATGGATAGACCTATTATATCAATTAACTTTTCAAAACCATCAGTGATAATAATTTTAATAATAATACTAAAACTAGAAATACATTTAATGTAAATGTAATAAATAATTATCTCAAATGTCATTTTATTTTCTCTGCTTTTGACTTTTCATACACCAATTTGGCAGTAATAAAAAGGTAAGTAAACTCTTATATAAATATTTTCAACATAAATATTATCACTACTGACTCTGGAGTACAGGCAGAGAGGACAGGTCGCCAAGGAAAAGTTATCCTGTCATGCAGTCCGCACATCTGTAACTGGTGATTTGGTGGTGGTCTCTAGGGCTTAACTAAACCAACTTGCCAACTTCTTAAGATTTCCATTATACGACGCCTTTTCAATATAAAACTTTATCAAGGTTCATCACTCTATCTACATTAAATATTTTCATTGCATATCAGATAAATAAAATAAATATTTTCGGACATCTGACACAACACCATCTAGTTTCAAACCAAGCAGATTTTGCACTATGAAGGCTAAATTGACTAATAGAATACTTTTATATATTGTACACACAACAAATATTAGCAGTTCATACAAAAATTTGGTACGACCCGGGAATCGAAATCGAGACCTCAGAACAGCAATCGCATACGCTACCACTTCACCACCGAGGCAGTTTAAAAGATAGGAATCAGGTTCAGACAGGAATTATAATTCAGTCTCATCTTCACCTTAACAAAAAACTGTTTAAATTTTTTATAGAAATCAGTTTATATACAGTGACTTACAACTATTTTAAGGCTAATATTTACAAACTATAGCCTAGCTTTACTTACTCCGCACTAGGCACTTGTAAGTTTCTAGAGGTGGCGGTTGTCACTCACCATCAAAAAACAAAAAATAATAATCAGCACAGCAGTCGCATAAGTACCACTGCACCACCGAGGCAGTCGGAGAAACCAAAATTCTATAAATGAGATGACATCGATAGGGTAGATTCCTAGGTTTTAAAATAAATAAATTGCCTGAATCATTAAATTTACATCTTCATGTATAGTCTAAATTGTCCTCCATTACCAATTTAATGTTTTAACATCTTCAAATATATTTAAAGTGATTTGACAATAGCGTAGTATGACGTCATGCAATATTATTTCGTGCATATGTATACTGTACTGATTTGCCTTCATTTACTCCATTCGCACTGGACTCAATATGTTCACCCCGCAATTGTTTTCACTAATTCTGTAAATTGTATTCTCTTCGAGGTTTCAGATAAACTTTTTAAGAATTTCGAACTCAAAATAAGTTGACTACGCATTGTTCTCCCACAGTTGCAAATCATTTTCGACAATCTCGGCGTACTTATCCGCTTTGTACTTATCTTTGAACAATGGTCGGAGAGTGTTCAGGCCGATACCCATTAAAGCACCATTGTCCATCAGCTCAGTTAGCTTGTTCAGAAGGACTGGGTTATAGTACAATCGGAGAAGACTGGGTCTTGAATATAAGTACTGTACATCCCTGAGATTTTTGCGGGCCCATGATTCTGTAGTTTTATTCCCACTGGCTATCTGTAAGCATTCATGTAAGGGAACGTTAATACATTTATATTTAAATTATAAAGGCAACGAAAATTTGGGCTGTGCCTTCTTGGACAGTTGGTGAAGAACTCATTTTCAAAATAACTTATTTCTACAGCACTGACACTCGCATCTAGAATCTTCAGTTTTCGGATGATTTTAGGCATTTTACGAGTGTATCATTAAGGCTACTAGAAATAGAGAGACTCAATTCGCAGCAAATCAGATAGTAAGAATATTCTGTTGGTAAATCCCTGAGTATTTTATAGGAGTAAAATTTAAGTCCTATTCAATTTCTTCAGTGAGCTAGCTAAAGCTGTGTAGTTGAGAATCAGAAGAAACATTGGAAGAAAATTCCTTTTGCATCTTATATCTGTACCATATGTACATATCTATGTATCGCATGCACAAGCATGAGTTCAGAATGCATACCAATTATTGAACGGCTGTCTTCAGAACAATAATTTGAACGAATCTAATGCTGCAATATCGTCAATTTAGGAGCTACATAAAGTGACCCAAAGAGGTTCTTGACAGGTTTTTAAGGGGTAACCAAGAAAGTTTAAGCATTATAACTTACCCTGATATCACCAACTTGCTTCAGGAAGTACGATGAGAAGTAGAATCTAAGGTTGTCAGGCTTAGCGCGACCGTGGTTGCGTAACCTGATGTACGCGCGTAGCATGTTGTATCCCGTGCGCTTGTATTTGAATATCTATCCAGAAAGATTAACATAGTGGTAATAAGACGAAGCTTAGCACGGAGGGAGGAAGAAGTATGCTTGTATCGTCCTTAGTGTAAGAAGTCTTTAAGTCAACACCAACTTGATTTCTTTTCGTTTTTGGAAAGGCTTGGCGATATCATCACCATCATCAGCCTATCGCAGTCCACTCTAGCAAAAAGTTCTAACTGGAAGTTTACACACGAAACTAAGTTTTGGGAAAATTGTTTAGCTAATTGGATGTTTTATAAGTTTGTACTGAGTCCCAAGTGTGAGTTTATTTCACATCGACTCGCTCTCGTCAGCGAGCGCGTTAGGCGTTGTGATTGGTGCATATTTTCAGTGGGGGCCAATCGCAGCGCCAAATGCGGGCACCGTGACGATCGAGTAAATGTGAAATAAAGTCACACGGGCCTCCGATAACCAATTTAGTTGTGTTTAAAATTAGACAATTGCATTATTGATTATTTAAAGATTGAGAGAGATTTTACGAGGTGCTAAGAATTATTCTAAGACGTGATGTTAAAAGTAAAATCAATTAGCAATACTTATTCATATTCCTATGGTCCTTACAACGATTCCCAAATTTAATTTAAATAGGTTTATCAGATCAGAAAGGTCTGAAAATGGTTCAATTAAATATAGCACTTGAGTGATTTGGATCCGAAAATCAATCACTGGTCTTCGCGTACATGGCTATATCATACCATTGGAAACCTACTATGGTTGAAGTAAAGAACCATTAAAATTATAAGCACCTAACATACCTGGTAAATAAAGTTTCCCGTGACATATGAATCAATATAATGTGTGCCATAGCTCTTCATGAATCGCCTCACTTCTGCGACGTCACTCACATTCAGCCCATCAATGGCCCTCTTGATGTATTCCTTTGGCTCAACCGTATTGATATTGTTAAGTTCTACAGTTTTGTGCCTTTTACTCAGCTTGACCAGTACGTAGCAGCAGTTGTCAGGTTTTGAGTCATTTTCCAGGCCCATTGTACGCATTATTTCATCATTGATCCAGTCCCCCATAAACGCTTTCCACGGTTTATCTGTTCTGTAAATGGTATTATCATATCAAACTAAATTTGCCAAATTGGGGCTTAGTCAAGTCAATGCAAAGGAACGATACATCAAAAACGCTCTAAAAATACTAAGCAATTTTAAATTAAGGCGTGTAACGAAAATTATTTATTCATAGGAAATACTATTTGCAAATAATGTTTACGAATCAAATGAAACTCTTTCTAGAAACGCATTTTGAAGTTTGTTTTTAAAATCTCTGGTTCATATAATTATGTTCTGAACCAACAAAAAGAAAATAAACTGATTTGCGGACCGAAGGTCGAAACTTCTATGTAGATAGTTTGTCCGTTGCAGAACCTGCTATTCGAAAATTATTGATCTTTTTGCCTAAATACAAACTTAGCTTTGTCTTTAAATCCCAATACGTTGATAAAATGTTAGTTTGTTAATTAGTATTAATGAATAGAATAGAATTAATGAAATGTGATCGAACAACAATCGACGACTTTCTCTTTCTTTTAATTACTTCTTGCTTCTCTCCAATATTCATGATTTAACTTCTATGAGGATGAATGGTAGGTAAGTATGTTAAAATTAATTCAATATAAGCTAAAGTTTTGACAGCGTTGACTTCGAAGCTTAATTCCTTTCTAGCTTCCCGGGACCGCAAACTTATTAATATTTTATTTACATATTACACAAAAATATTTTATTTTTTACTAGTAGTTTATTATTTAGTGCCTTAACCAAAAGTCTTGACAGACTTAAAAATGGGACAAATCCCACCCACACGCCCACCACTGCAACTCCTGTACACCAGGATCCACAGCAGTGACCCACGAACACACCGAGTTATGACAGTCGGGCAGCCCAGGAAGAAATTAAACCGTCTTGGAACCCGCAACGAAATTAATGAAAAGAAAATTGGAGGAGTTGGAAATACAGTAAATCCAGTCCAGTCTTGACAGACTGACGGAAATTAAAGTGGTTTTAGTAGTAGTATTTCTTGTTTTTCTTTTGAGCAATAGCACCACACAGCAAAACTTACCCTTCTATCCGAAAACTCCTGAAGTACGCATCAAGTAGATCATCGAAGGTCTCACAGAGCAATACATCCATGTCCGTGATCCCCTCGCTCGTGGTCTCTTTGCTGGTGACACTAACGAACACTCTGATGTTCCTCTCGTTGAAGGGGACTATTTCTTCATTACCGTCGTAGCCCTCATAGTCAGCTGAGACCACTTGTGCCACTTGAGACAGGTCGCCGTAACTGGGAACGTAGGATTGCAAATATATTGTATAGGTTAATGACTTGCGCGATAAAAGTAAATATACAGTTATTTTTACACTACTACACGTTATATCAACGTTTTGAACTTCATAATATTTCGTTCGATTTTCTTAAGAGATACTCCATTCCTGTCACCCTTAAACTAACATTATTTAAGTATAATTTTAATTCAAGGTTTTGTTTTTTTCTTATCTCGACACCTTAACTTATGTCAAGAGTAAACGTCTTAATTGAGCAAATCTTTATAAAACGGAATCTCACAACATAATTGTGACAACATTCCAATATACTAGTAAACTTTTTCGTTATCCCACAATTGCAGTGTCCCTGGAAGAAAGCTATTTTTATTAAATATATATATATATAAATTAATATATATTTTAGGATCTGGGGAGACTGACAAAATCACGTTAATAAGTAGGTACTTAACGAACAAGACAAAACAGCATGCATTATCTGAATAAATATTTTAAACAAGTGATTGTTGACAAGATACTATATATGTAGTAGTTTTTATTTATAAATATTCAATAATTGGGTTTATTTTGTATATTTATAATGACCTTTGACGAAATGATTGTAGTAAGTACGTAGGAGTCATAGATCTCCATTTGTCGCCGATAGTGCGTGACAAGAATTAGACCGTATCTTGTGAGTTAATTTGAATGAAACTCTATAATTTGATTGAACAGAACTAATTCTGTTATATACATAAAATAAAAAATAAAAAATTGTTCGGCTGCAACATAGAGCAACACAGGCCACCGGCGAACCGGAGTTGCTCTGTGGGCTACAAATAGGTACATCTGCTGCAAATAAAAAGTAAGTTAAGAGAAGCTAATTTTCTCTAAAACCCCTTTGGCGTTATTAAATCTTTAGTCTAAGATCAGTCTAACTAGAAACCTATAGGTACTTAAATTGGTAGCATAATATAAAAATCATGCCTTTTCTACAATAACTAGTTTTTTATTTATTTATTTCATCACCCTTAACTATCATTACAGGTAAACCTATTGTGATATAGTGGCAAACTTATATTAAAACATTTATTGTTTTACAAATTTCTATTAATACATCTATTGTTTTACAAATGCACAAAGAAAGGAATACAACGAAATGCAAAATAAAAATAACAATACATTTTAAATACCTACCTAAGAGATACATTATATGGCTTTTAGCTGTTGTAACAAATTGTATTTTAAAGACACTGCGAGTAGACTCAATTGAACTTTGAAGGCATGGCAATTTCTTGGGAACTTCATTAATAATACTAACAATTCCCATAAGGAATGCTTTCCCATGCAAGTTAGCCCTGGCTACTGGCACGGCCAACAGGCACGCACAGGTTCAGGTAACCGAGTACCTCAGAATTATGAACTATATACTTCGTAGTCATCATCAACATCATGGGTACACCCCGTATTGTTTGAAGTACTTGTATACTTATTCTGGACACGTTCTAACACGACACTGTTTTGCTTCATACGGAGCCCAAATGACAGCACCATTTTTCAGGTCGCTACGAACTAATGCGTCATACAACACCTTCAGTGTCGTAATGTTAGTGAAACCCTTTGTGTCTTAGCACAAAACCGAGGTTCCTATACGCTTTCTTACAAATATTTACTACTTATATGTTAGCGAAACCTTAAGTCCGGAGTGAAAGTACCTCTAAATCCCGTATCTGCGATACTCGTTGCATGGGTGTCTATGCTTTGTACTCGTACTAAGTAAGTAGTAAGTAGGTTTTACAAATGCACAAAGAAAGGAATACAACGAAATGCAAAATAAAAATAACAATACATTTTAAATACCTACCTAAAAGATACATTATATGGCTTTTAGCTCTTGTAACAAATTGTACTTTAAAGACACTTTGCGAGTAGACTCAATTGAACTTTGAAGGCATGGCAATTTCTTGGTGAACTTCAATAATAATACTAACAATTATTACTATTAATAATATTAAACATTTTTATCAGCATTTAGACGCTTTTATATAAGTTAATTCTCATGCCTCCAATCCACAACTTCTTTTATACATTCAATCCTGTATTCTTCCACCTAACTGGGAACCTCGCTTGTTGTTCTGCTAATATTCTGTTACAGTCTCTGAATAGAAGAGCCGTCATACCGTCCGAGCTAGAAGAATGTTTTGGTTTGAGACTTATAAGTGCATCCTTTACATCTGCAAAGCCACTTAAAGCCTCTAAAAGCACGCGTGGGTCACTAGCACGAACCTCTGCTGCCTGAACCTGTGCTTCAAGTTAGGGTCGTTCTATACTGTATCATCATCATCAGCCTATCGCAGTCCACTGCTGGACATAGGCCTCTCCCATTGCACGCCAATTAGATCGATTTATGGCTTCTCGCATCCAGCTCCTGCCAGCCATCTTGCGCATATCGTCACTCCACCTGGCCTTTGGGCTTTTGTTTTGTGTCGATGACATCAGTTATTATATATATGCGATAACTGACAGTTAATATAGAAAAGGCATGAAATATCATTTTTTATGCTCATCTAATTTTATAAAATGCAATACGTTACATAGTAAGATGCCAGATCTGACATAATTAGATAAATCATCTAATTATGTCAGATCTGGCATCTTAGCAAAGCTTAAATTTTCAAAGTAAAGAGAGCAATCTCTTTATTTAAAAAAATGATGGGTTGGAATGGATGAGGTTTACGAAAAGGTACCTTGTAGCAAATTCAAATACGAATGATGACCACAATATATCCAGAATGTATCTGTATTATTTTATTTAGTATCTTACTTTCTCATGTTGTACCTTTTGTTTGATGTTACCAACATTATTGTTCATGACTGCTTTTATCTCGTGTAAGTATTAACTTTTGATTAATAAAGCATTTGGACAACTCGGTTTTTTCTAAGAAAAATCTTAGCAGCACCACGGAAATTGCAAATGTACACGGTTCCAATAAGTAATAGGCCTAAGGTATATAAGTGTGTGTGTAATCTACCTTTGTCTACCCAGTCTGTTTGTACCTAAAATTATCAGTTGAATTTCATCACAGCCTCAGCTGTGATACCTGTTTGCAGGAGAATCAACAACGGTGACCCATGTATAGGCCGCAAGCATGACAAACGGGGACAAAGAATAAATTAATTTTAAGGCTAAATAATTGGAATTGTTAATACGTTACAGTTTTTTTCAAAACTTACTTTGCAAACACATCAATAGCGTTTCCAATAGTCAAACTGTATCCCAAATCATCTTCCTCACTATCACAAAGGACCGAACAGAACAACACAACAAAACACAAAACTAAGATCTTAAAACACATTATAAACTAATATACCGCGTGGTTGCGGCTAATAAACTGAGATTTTTTCACATTTTGCTAACAAAACGATAAAGTAAACATCGTTTGAACTTGACCTAAGAGATTAGTTACTTATCAGCGTATACTCCGCCTCGCGAGTACGCTTGCTTCTGTCGCAACAGATGCAAGCGTTGCCTGTTCGATTACTTTTCCCGTCACTACATATTTTCCGCGATGACTTGAATATTACAACAGGAAAGTCACACGAATTCTGATTAAATAAATAGCTGCACTACATAAGTCTAACACGAACTCGGCACGTTTAAAATGTACTTATTTGTAATTGCGCTTATTTGGATACGATGCATGACGTTTAACAATTTATTAATAGTTTTCCATTGTTGCGGAAACACAATGTCTGGTAATCACGCGACTTACTCATCAGAAAATACGTATCTCAGAGTTCAAACAAAGAGTTGGCTTGTCACATGTGCAATCATAAGTTAACAACCTGTATCTTGGGTATCTCGTACATGCATGTACGATAGGGATGTGGACAAATTTTCTGCGCCTTTTTATAGCATGGTTCTTATTCGACGCCCAAAGATTAAAAGCTACTTTTAAAGCTTTTCGCAAAAACATCTCACATGTCTCATGTCAATAAGTTGAACTACGTTACTAATCGATATAAACTGACAGTGTTTACTATAGTAGTGTAAGTATCTATGTAGGCAATAATAATAAAATAGATAAAATAAATAAAATAATAAAATAATGATACCAATTAACAGTATGTTGATCGGTTTATGACGAAAAAGATCTGGATACGTCTATAGACACATAATCCAGTAACTACTGAAGCCTTTTAATGTTTTCCTTTATTTGACATATTTTTTAAAATAAAAGATACTTTTTTTACACAATTAATTATTTAGTTACAACTTAAATAGTTTAAAAGTATTATTCTCTTGTTTTAATAAATTTACCCCTAATTTTATTGCAAGACCATGAATTCCATTCTTAAATAGACTTTAAAGAGCTCACAACGCTAATTTACTAGAGTTACTAACTGATCAGCCACGAGAGTGGATAATCAAGAAGCAACCTATTTTGAGGTACCTACTCCTAAAGTTTCCCTTCTGTGCTTATACTTAAATAACTTACGGACGATAGTCACCTCTAAGCCCACAAGTACGAGTAGTTATCAAACATTATTAAATATATTTAAGTAGGTATTCTATAAGCAAGAATGGTACCTACAGACTATAGAGTGTAGAGGCAAGGAGAACCACCTCTGTACATGAAAAGTGTCAGTAAAAACGCGTCCAATAAAGGTGGCGCTGCGGTAGCCTGGGATAAATTTATGTTGGTTTAAATAATAATTTGACAATGTGTAAAAGACAGCGAAAATAGTCAATGAGTTTTACAGACAATAAATAAACTTGTAATAACTTTCAAACAATAAAAGTACTATAATATTTTAACTCAACACACTTCACTTCGTCTGCAACAGCTTTATTCCTATCATAGATTTGGTACGCCAGCGACCTCTATTTTCAGTATACAACTGGACACTTAACACTTTCTTCCCATATGAGATGGTTCTCCTTGCCTCTACACTATAGTCATAATACCATGGAAGAGCCATTCTTTGGCACGTAGGGAACTGATTTTGAGCAGTTTTTTTCGTTTCTTTTCATCGAGTGACTGAGGTTGCCAAATGCGCCTGCGCACTTGTGATTCTCGAGTTGCAGGTGTTCATGGGCGGCGATATTCACTTACCATCAGGTGATGCCCTTGCTCGTAGGCCATCCCTATTCCATAACAAAACATTGATGTTTTAGTAATTGACTGGCACTACTGTTACAATTAAAAAATAATTAGTCCAGTATGTCATGGATATTTGATAAAGGGTTTATAATTGGTTTTAATTAAAATATCGTTACTAACCCAGATCGTTATTTCAAATATTTTAATGTGTAGTATGGACTTTATAATATTTAATAGCTTTAAACATTTTCTTTTAGGTATATGTTTCGATGTAGATCAAAGTTGGTGAAGGTATATTTTTGCTATCACAACACTCTATACAGAATTGGTTAACAATCCTAATATCATCTTCCCAAATAAAAATTTCATTTAATGCTGATTTACTAAGATTTACCATAATTTGTCAGATGTTTCTGTCATGCCAAACACTGCTAAGTGATGTTGTGCCAAGACCGCGAATAGCATGAAGCAATTAAATTCATTTTATGTGTTACTCCTTTTATTACTTCCAGATTGAATTGTTATAATCTGTCGTTAATAATTTAATTTATGCACAACCCGCTGTAGGAAAAGAAAATTACTAGAATATAGTATAGAAATACAACTATTTGGTGAGTTATATCCCACTGTAAATCTTTATTTACAGTTACTAGCTTAATCATCTGAATCTAGTTTTTAAATCTGTATGTGTATGTCTTCGGCATTTATCATTTCAGGTTAAAGAAAATTGCTTTAAATATCTCGAACATTTGAATCTGTATCCAGCTTGGATCCCATCCTGAAATTGCATTGTGCATGTGTTTGGATCCCAAACACACCGCTCCAATATCGATAGGTTTTTTGGCCACCTACGAAGTTCGCAAAGACATCAAAAGTAAGACAAGTATCTAAGTAATATTAGTATTAATTACTAGGAAGATAAATCAGGTCATTTTCATGGTGGTATACTTCCAGGTGTCCAATATTAAACTCTATGGTGGAAAAACAGTTAACACTTTCTTCCATATCTAGTTGAAGTATCCCATCTGTTATACTATTAATTAATCTACTGTAAAGTTCTTATGAAATTAGCGTATACTGAGGTTGTTATAAACGTATCAGTTTCGTAGGAGCGTTGCGCATTGCTTATTCACGCTAACGAAGCCGATAACCTCGACTCACCTCTTGTGTGAATTAAACTTTATCTATGTGGAAACACTGGGAATTCGACAGCTGACAGGCAAATTGTGGCTGTTTGTTTAATATTCAACTGAGATAATAATTGATCTTTTAAATAGAATAAAAACTACTTTAATGTCCCTTAACGTTGTCAATACTAGACTTACTTAAGTATTTAATAAGTCCTAACAACAGCCGGTCAGGTACGGTCACATAGACTGGTCCTGGATCCTGTCTTTTTGTTGCAGGAACACTGTATTCGTTCCGCTTTTATAGTGGAGCCATTTTACGTCTGTGATATTTTTAATGTAGTAGAACAGTTGTTCTACTTGAGTGAAGGAAGTTCCTTCCTTTCCTTTCCTTTGTTCTTTGGATAGGCCTTCAACCTTCTTTTTTGACCCCTGCCAGGTGTTATTAGTATAGTAAGTAAGTATTTTATATATACATATTTTTAGTGTCTTATCGAGACTGCGTATCATAATTCCATCTCAGGCTTATGAGTATGGGATATCAATTATCGATGTGAAATAAACTCGCACTTGGGCCTCTGATGATATAGCGCTTTTGAATTTTAGTAGAAAGATCTCTAGTATTCGATAGTCCGTTCCAAGCAAACAAGAATATTCCAGAATCAGTCACGCGTTACTTGCATCGCCAGCTAGCGCTGTAAGGATCAGAACTACTCGTAATCGACAATCTTCATAGTCGATACTAGATGGCGCTGTCCTTCACATTACATACAATCGAACCATGTAATCCTATGGCGCAACATTATTATACTAGCGGCCCGCCCCCGCTTCGCATGGGTGCAATTTAGATACTAATGTAAAGTCAGTCTAGAGTAGTTAATTATATTATTATTATGACTAGATTATACTAAAGGATATCTTTATATACAGGACGGATGTACAGCCCGATGGTCGTATGTCCCCGCATTGTAAATCTCTGATAACTTCTAAGATATTCATTTTAACGATAGGGTAAAAGGATCTACATTAAATGCACAACGTAATTGAATAAGAAATGTTGTGCTGTTGAATATGTTCCAGAAGGAGAAGCTGGTTCCACGCAGAAAAAGATACTTTCCCCAAGTATATAATAATGTTTTAGTACTCTTGACAAAATGTTTTTCAATGGGAATTATGTCGCGGGCAAAAACTAGTATAATATATTGTATGTACAGCAAGTGACTAATCTTAGTTATCACCAGGTCTTTGCTCTTTGACAAGTTTGCTTAGATTACTGTTAGACAAACATTTATTTGAACAACACAACTTTACCTACCTTGTTGATACATGATAGTTAACGTCACTAATGACCCACTTTGGGTGATAACAGATTTGGGTCCCACGATATTTACAGGGACATTCTGAATTTATAGCACATTCAACGATTGACTGACGGGGATTTGATATTCTAAGACATATACAACGGTATCTTTTTTTTATAAGTTTACACAACTCACACACGGTCGTCTAAACCCAAAGTAGGCAGAGCTTGTGCTATGGTAACCAGCTGACAAACATTTCTAAATACATCCATATTATAGATACTTACACTCAGACAAAACAATAAACAAATATCTCATCACACAATTATTTGTCCCGAGTGTAAATCAAACCCACGTTTTCCAGCTTAGTAGTTGAACTCACTAACCACTAGGGCAACAGTTCCGTCAATAGTATCTGGATCTAAACTGAGCAGAAAAACAGAGATAGTATGAATAGCTACCATAGGTTTTAAATATTTGGGCAAACATATTTCATGATCAATTACGTGTGCAGGTTGTTGGCTAGTTTTCCTTTCAACGGGAGGTCAGATCAACGCCAACCCTCGGTGGAAGTATAATCGTTTTCAGAAGAAAAGGAAGAAGGTAAATCGGTTAGCGTAGTGGTTAAAGCGGTCACCTTGCCACTGCCTACTGCGCTGAGTGTTGTGGGTCCGATCCACACATGCGACATTGTGTGATCCCCAAATTGTTGTTCTGAGTCTGGGTGTTATTTCTCTTCGTTTCATGAATTTTTCTTAAGTCCCTTCCGACACAGGATTTATTCCTAGTGTGGGAATTGTCTTTTAAAAGAGAAAGAAATCGGGACAGTGTAAATGGATAGTGGGAGAAAGATAAGGTAAGAGATACCGCAAGAATGGATGAAGAAATGGGACTAAAATGGCGGTAGGTACCCAGGCCAGTATTGCGTTCCAAAGTCAAAGATACCTTAAAAACTAATAATTGAAATCGTCATTTATGTATTCTAAAGTCATAGATCAACTCATAGAGTAGCAACAATCTGTTTTGTCAAATATTGAGCAAAATGAATCCAATTCATTATAATAATATGCCTGTGCCGATCTACAGCCACCTAGAGGGTTGCCGATCTCGACCAATGCAAATAAAATCGATTGCGTGGTCGAGGCCACATAAAAATCTAACCTTACAGTTAGCGAAGATGTCATGAGAAATATATTTATAAAACCAGCTTACCCAGCGAACTTCGTACCGCCTTAGCACTAATAAATTAGATGATAAATTTGGTGACAGCAGCGACACCTACCGGGTCCAAATGTGTCTTCAAACCATCCAGGCACCCATTGAAATATACACTCAAAATTTCATCCAAATCGGCATAGCCGTTTAGGAGGAGTTAGGTTACAAACACACGGATAGAAAAAATATAAGTATTATGATAAGAAAAATACTTGTAGTTTTAATATAACTAAAACAACATTCTCAGTCACAAATTTACTTTATTTTTATCAAAATAATAATATTTACACCACCTAACATTTAACTATTATTTATCTACTTACACCAAACTAAATGCACATCGAGTTTGATCCCGCGTCTTGATGCAAACGAAATCACTAATATTGCACATAAAAAAAAAGATATTTTAATTGGTCACACTTATTTTATCTATGGACAGAATAACAATATTATTTATGATTAAAATATTTTTAATATTTTTTATTAATTCTGTTGCAGGCTATGACTTGCAGCAATAGCTACATTCTAAATATTTGAACGCTATGGCAATGGCGAATATAACCTTACTATCTTTAAGGTTTCCTGCAAACATTTTTGTTCCCTGTAATTTATACGAATTAAATTCAATTTTTTAATTTTTACTTATTTTATCTGCCAATATTTTAGAATATTTTGATACTACTTTTATAGACTAAAAATCAAAAAGTATTTATATAAACCGCCATGTCTTTGAAGTCAAGTTTTAATAATTTAATTGTCAAATCATTGTATGGTATTAGTCAATTTCAGAAGCGTTTTATGGTTCCGTGTTAATATTTTTATTCTAACCTAAGGTCATTGGTACTTATTGGCGCCTAAAAACATTATTTTGCTGTTCATAACCTGCAATAGAAAACTACATTTTATTTTCTCTCATAACTTGGCACACATTTATAACTGATAGGGTCGTAATGAAAGGTAGATTTATAGGCTAGTTAGCCTTCATGTATATGCATTTTTTTTGACACTCCCTTATAAAGATTTCTATGCCAGTAGTGGCTACTATTATAGTGGGTTTTCATGGATGATTTCGACTTAATCACTATAATATTTATAAGTCAGTATACGTATTTTAGAACGTCGAACTTATTTATTTTGGACTGTTTTGTTGGTACTTGCGTGAAAGACTGATACTGTTTAAGCATGTCTACACTAGCGCGCTTTAAAGTAATTTGATAACCGCACATGTGCACAAAGCACATGGTAACTTCACAAGGTTTTAATGTCAGTCAGTTAGTCCGTCACTTACATCAATGTGTAACTAGCCTTATAATTATTATTCCAATTAGGTCTTTACACGTAATGCTAGTTAAAATCTTACAAGTACTAAATATCATTTTTATTAAAAAAATATTTGATGGGTTATAACGATTATAGAAGATAAGGCACATTTAAAATATATTTGTACAAAAATATATTGTATTTTGATGCAAATTCATTATACTTAACATTTTACTTTTTAAAACGTGTACATATTACTGTTTTGATCACATATACAATTATTGTCTTTTAACACTATCTATACATGTTATGTTTTTCATGCTAGTATATCTACTTAAAAAACTATGGTTTTCATATTTAATATCAATACACATATTAAAAATAAATATTTTCGTTGTTTCCTACATTTATTATAAGTTTGGGATTTTCTGAAGTTTTTAGTTTGCATTTCGATAGTTTTTTGTGAGAAAAATAAAGTAATATAAAATAAAATATGTAATATAATGTTTCGATAAACATGTTATGTTTTATCCAAGAGAACATTATATTTCAGCAATTGCAAGTTGTTCTTGTTCCATTAATATATTCTTAGTACATGACATAAAATAAATTCTAAATTAAAAATATTTTAAGTTCCTTTTAAATGCATTGTTGATGGTTCTTATTAACGCTTTAAAATTTTGGTAGCAATTCAATTATTTTTTTGAAATAAAAAAAATAAAGCAGACCCTCATTATTTTTTCAAAAGACTTCCGATTCTGAATGTTATTAAGTTAAAGGTAAAAAACATAAAATTGCCAGACCACGCATAGAAATAGACACTAAATTAGGTCTTCTTAGATATAGTAACTTGCTCAATGCCATCTATCATTCTGTTATAGAAACAACCAAAGAAGACAATTTTTCCTATCGAATAGCTAAACTAATACTTCAGAAAATGGCTGATAAACATAAACTGCATTGTTTAATAACATTTACAGCATTGCCCGTGTCGTTAATATTCACCACATTCACTGGTCAATGCCAGCACTAACTCGAGTTCATAGAGAAAGTTATAGAGAGGGGACATTAATGCTCTTTGTCTATTCCAGCTTTCGGCGTTCAAGTGTTAGTCTGATGAATATAGAACTGCTTTGTGTACATAACTTAAAGTAAAATAGTCTAAGGTAGGTAAGTTCTCTCGCCTCTTCGCATTAGAGTGGGGTCGTCCCACACCACAGTGAGGTCGGCTCCCTCAACGAGCGGCCAAGTCTGTCGCGATTCACAAGGATTTCATTTTAAGGGTACACCTGAGACCCGAGCCATACGATCGGTGATCTCCTTGACTTTCGGTGAGGTGATGACAGGCTGAGTTTCGATATATTACATAACGACGCCCGTGGGTGGAATATGGGCATCGTATTTAAGTCTTTTACGAGCTCAATCTCTTTTCGCTATGTTTTTCATCAAGAGGAGATAAGTGTTACTTTCACTGTAAAAATTAGTTAAAGTTAATGAATAAACCACTTCCAATGTTTGTTTTGTCTATTTTACTATAAAGTAGAAAAACAATATTAACATAAACTTACTTGCGATAAAAGTTAAAGGGTAAAAGGTTTTGAGTTAGAGGAAGCGTTTCACTATCGTAAAAGTTTTTTTCCATCACTCGGGATTATTTTTATTGCTGGGTTAAAAGTAAACTGAAATTTCATAACGATCAGATAATCGATACGGCACGCAAACAAACATTTTGTTTATACAATCAACCATGATTATAACAACCGGGCAAAGCTGTAAATAAATTTACATCTAATAATGAGACTTTTAACTCCATTACAAACATATCTACTTACGCTAATAACTAAATTACATGTCACATATTACTCTCCCAAAGTTTTAAATAATTATCTATGACTTCCTCGAACCATTTCTTTTTCTTTACGTCCTTGAATGCAGGCGATAGTGTTTTTAATTCTAATTGTAATAAGGCTTCATTTCCTAATAACGTGTCTAGGCTTCTGAGCAGTGTTGGCTCTCCGTGTAACTTTAACAGACTCGGGTATGAGAATATGTAGTAGTGGACTCGAAGGCGTTTCGTTGCCCAATTCTCAACTGTTTTGTTTCCACTTGCTACCTGTAACATGCATTAACATAATTTAATTATATGTGTATCTCGCGGCAAATGACGTATGTTTATTAAAATAGCTTTATTCATGTTAATCGTTCAAGGATCTGTCTTATTTATGGACCATCTGGTTTAAATATGCGAATTTATAAACAAGGCAAAATGCTATTAGAATTTGTGCTAAACTATCAATATTAAAATTTTATTGAAAAATACTTTTTTGTGTAGATGAAATTGACAATGACCATATTTTTTTATCACTATTACGTAATTGATATTCTCTTAATATTTGAGGTATGATAGTTTAATCATTTCTGCACATGGTACATGGGAAACCAGTGGAGTATACATTTCCAGAATCTTCTTTCTTACAATTATTGTATGAAGAAAATTTGTAATTATATTATGCCCATAGTTATCGAGTTTTACTTTTCAATAAACAATGTACGTTAAAAAACATGTTAATTGCGTTTAGATTCGTTGTATGTAGGTTAGAGGTAAGGAGCACTATCTTACATGGACGGCAAACCGAAAAAGTGTCCATCAAAAACAGCATATAATAGTTCTAAAACAGAATGGCGCTAGTGTAGCCAAATATAGTGACTTGAACATAGCAGTTATAGACGGAGTAAACCTTCCTGAGTTAAATTAATAATTTATTTAATAATAAATAATCTTTAATATTATATTCGTTTGCCTATGTTTTTATTAGTATGAATAGCGCGCCATATCCTTGTTGAATTTACTATGCTACTCTAAAAACTTGCTACCGTGGCGCCACCATAATTTGACGCTTTTGACGGACATTTTTTCATACACAGAGACGGTTCTCCTTACCGCCACCCTCCATAATTCGGATTAGTAATGAATATTATGCATTTTTTAAATGGGTTGTTATTTACTAAGATAGGTTTGAAGATCAGTTCAGCAGATTTGGAGAATTACAAAATTGTGAAAAAAAGAGGATGCCAATGTGTAAGTATATTGAGTTTTATTATATGCTAGTGATAAAATTTTGAGTAATTCTTAACAGAAGTCTTGTAGGTTACACACAATTTTAGTCAACATGTATTTTTTTTCTATTTCAAATAACGATTACTTAGATTCTTTTTTCGCAAAAACCAAAGAGAAAGTAAAAAAAAAAACTACTTTTCCTTAGAACTATTTTGACATTATTTATTAACTTCTTTAAGTTATTCTGTTTGAGTTCTTCCCAACGGTCAAAATGGTTGCACTGGTAAATAAGAAAACAAGATTATTCTTGTTTTCCTTCATTTTCCATTATAACTTGAATTGTCTTTATATAGACTTCTGTACTACATAATTATATACTGGATCACAATACTTTTCTGTAGACGTTTTACATACATATTTTTGTTTTTATAACACATATTGCATAAGTAGGTATTTTAAATATTAATAAATTCGATTGCCATTATTGTGTTAAAGGGGTAAGTACAAAGCATTTGTTTCACTAATTAATAATTAATTTTTTTCAAATTAACTACTAATAAGGCGGGGAAAGGTCTATTTACAGAGTATTGGATTTTTAATTATACACTACTATACTTTTGTTTAATAATATTTACCTTAATTTGGCCGACATGTTTAGCTTGAAAGGGCGAGAAATATTCCTGTAATTCCTTAGAGTTAATATCTGCTACTCCTTTAGTTTTCAACCGTTCTTTGATCATAGAGTATGCCGTTCTAGAGAACACAAACACCTGGAGTGAGAGCATAGACGATACATATTTTTATTTAATTTTCATTTTAGCTTTTTTTGGCTGTGTACTCCAGGTTTAGCAAGACTTGGACCGTTCGAAACTTCTTTTCAATAAAAATATTGGTTATGTCTTGGGTTTTTAATTAGGCACGTTCTCTCTTTTATTATTGGTCTCTCAACTTGGTCAACATCAGATTTTTATTTTTATTGAAGTGAAAACTTCTTAAGTAGCGTTGAGCGACTTTTGTTAGGGGAAAAACTTACGGGTTCGAGTCACCAATGACCTAGACATGCTCGAGACGTATTGCGCCAGACCAGCGTCGCGTAGTTCCATTGTTTTGAGTTTTTACTTCTGTCGGCAGTCCTCATGACTGCCTCTGTTTTTTTATTGGAACGAAGTTCTTTATCACACCTTACACGCTCTGAGCGGATGGGAGCGAGACCGACTATACTCTCCCGCGAACTTCGTTACGACCAGGGGTGCATAGACCTTTATCCAGGTTTTTAAAAACAAAAGGTGTTTTAAATGTATTAATACTGATTGAAAAAAATACAAAAAATATTAATTTATACGTCAAATAGAATAAATACGTCATTTACGTCAAAGCTAACAGCTGTCAATTAGCATCATAGTTCAACTATATTTTTGATTCTGTTACTCTATGGCGAACTGTTATTTATAGCCTAATTATGAACCAAATCAAAAGTAAACTTTTAGATCTCGTCACGTAATTTCTTTTTTATAAAATCCTAATATAACCATAAAATAATTGCTTCAAAAAACAAAAGCCGAGCTTAGCTGTATGTGTTATTTCACTGTAGAAAGTAGTAATACATACATTATTCGTTACAAGCTAAGCTATGCTTTGGTATAATGTATCAAAACCCCATAAAACCCATGTCTTGGTTAGCCTACACTATAATATTTTTAATCTAATGATAAATTGAAAATGAAATGAGAGAAAGGATTAATAATCATGATATAATGAGGGATAAGAATGAAAGAGAGAGAATGCCCATAGAGTAAATATAAATTCACATTAATGATCAAGCGCCCAGCCAAGCAACCAAACGTGAAATTACTATGTTTGAGAGTTGAATGAAAAGAAGTTTTTGTCAACAGAAGACTACTCAAGTAGTTTCATTTTGCATAATAACATCTATGATAGCTAGCGATAGCCATAATGGACGTTGTTTTGCATTAATAAGCCTGATTCTACACGTGTTATTAACATTAATTCTCATTTTTTCTAATTTTACATCAGAGTCAGGCTATCAGTGACACACAGTCCAAACCTTGACAGTGCCAACATGTTCAGCGAATAGTGGCGAGAAGAAATTGTTCATCTCAGCTATCGGTATATCAGAAATACCGCGGGACTTAACACGCTCCTTGATCCTGGAGTACACGCCACGGGAAAACACAAATACCTGAAATACACAGGGAAAGACTTTTCATTCAATAGTTCATTAATAAAAAAAAAACATAATATATTTTTTTATAATATAATCTCATTATTATGATATATATTCTATGTCATAATAATGAATCGATCTGTTTAAAAATTAACTGTTAAAACTATTTTGTTGTTGACAACACAGATTTTTTACGTCATTCTAATTTGAATTATTTTGAATCGTTCTCTTTGTTACAAACCTTAACATAAGCAAAATCTTTGAGATTCATCTCCTTGGGCCAAGTTAGGTAGGAAGTTTTAAGTGAAAAAAAATGGTTTATGATTGTCACATGAGTTGAGATTCGTTGTAACTGATAATATCAAAGTAGGTTTCTTGCAAATAAGACAACATTATGATCATTAAGAGCCTTTAATAGTCTACGACTGGACATAGGCCTCTCCTTAGAAAGGAGGTTTTAGCCTACTATACCACGGTAACCAGAGGTATAGGGTTTGTTTCAAGTCTTCCTTTCACAACATGTCTTACCTGATAAAGAGAGTTGCCAGTAATATAAGAAGCAATATAATGTGAGCCATATTTTCTGATGAAATCTGCAATAGAAGCTGTGTCTCCAATGTTGGAATCCTGAATTGCTTCGGTAACCACGTCTTCAACGCCTATATTGCCGGGCAGGTCGTTTAGTTTCCCTGTCTCGCGGAATCTGACAGAGAAAACGATAGCTAAGGTACTATATAAAATACTTGAGCATATAATAGGTTGAGGACTTCAAACAATCGATTCTATGTACTCAGTACTATGTACACTAATGGGATGTTTTTTTGTGTTGGAGTGAGAGATGTTAAAGTTGGTGCTCTAGTAGTGTTAACAAACGATTTTTTTTCAGACTATTTGCAAAGATGGCTGAACGTCTTCCGAGTCCTAGAATTGATTTTGCCTTATCCTATAACTAGCTTTCCCATAGAAGTCAATCGGGCTCGAGAGACGGTTTATCGCGAAGCTTAGAAGTACTCGCGGGAGGTGGGGGCTTGGATTATTACAAGCAGGTTCCTGTGCATGCTTTGTACACATAGAATTCGAAGTATTATTGTATTTTCTGTATACAATTGGAATACATTTTTTGAAAACTGCACATTCCTAACCTAACCAACTCTGACTTGAGTGAACTTAAGTTGATATTTTTTTTTACCTAGAGACCCTAACGAGCACGTAGCAGTGATCACCGTTGATGAAGGAGGAGTTGATGCCGAGGTTGCGAGCCATGATATCTGTGGGCCATCCAGCGGTGAACGCGCGCCATGGTCGCTCCAATCTGTACAAGAGGTAGTCAAAATCACCGATAGAATAAAAAAATGGTATAAATTAAATTGGATAATTTTCAAGTACCAATAATATTTTCGGACATTGACACACAACGCCATCTAGTTTTAAACAAAGAAGAGCTTGTACTATGAAAGTTAGATTGACTAATAGAATATTTTTTTTTTAATAATCGAAAATAATGGGTAAATCTATTATATAAGATACCTTTCAAAACTAAAATCTCTAAAGTACGCCTGCAGCAGCTGCTTCAGGTTATCGCAGAATTCCATGTGGAAGTCTCCGTCAAACAAAGTCTTGGCGTGGCGAGGCGTCGGCGCGATGGCATACCGCTCCACGTCGCGAAACACTGAGACTGTAGGCTCTCTGAACACCCATCCTTCTGTGTCGTTACGCGGGACAACCCGCATGCAGATGCTGAGGTAGCCATATCTGGAATGTGTACAGCCTTATTTTTTATTTTGTGTCAAAAATTTCAACTAACCAAGATGTTGAAAAACTCACTAAGAACTTCGAACTTTGCCTTAAGTTAAGAAACAAGAGGAATTCTACATCGAATTATAACATGCGACTCTTGAAAACGTCCAAAGGTCTACTTGGACGTAGGAGAGGAAACCAAATACCGAAGCTGCTAATCAGTTTACGAGTATGGTGGGATATGAGCCGGTATTACACGGGGGCGGGCATATACCAGGCACTTAGGTGGATGATAATTAGGTCAATGATATGCTGTTGATAAAACCGCCTCTTCTTAAATAGGGCGAATGTTGTCTGAGTACATTAAGTAGTAGGTATCTAAGGGGTTTAAAATATGATCGGGCCGCAACATTTAGTGATAGCCTGATAGGCAGGGGGAAGCTTTTGGCTTCCCCTGTGATAGGGCCTAGTTACCTGACCTGAAATCACATGGCCCAGGTCTTCTCTAGACTAGGGCTCCTAAGGCCCGGCCGTCGGGTGGTGTTTAGTGGAAACACCACATACTTCGGCTCCTGTATCCCAATGAGATGAAGATTTGAAGAGATTTTCCACCCGTCACTAAAAAATAAGTATACAGGGGTTTGGACAGAGAGCACAATTTTTGTATAAATGTGCATACCTCATAAATATGTTGATCGCCTTGCCGACTCCAAGTTCTGAGTCGAGTGTGGTGGCGGCGCCGCACAATGCTCCCACCAGCAGCAGCACTGTGAGGGTCCGCACCATCACACACGCCCTGATGACCTACAAAAATAAACATTTGTGTAACTGTGCCTAATTAAGTAATTACAACAAAAACAAACATGGCGTGTATCTCATCCAAAAGTTTTTTTGACTGGCCTGTTGGTTTAGTGGTTTAAGTGAGGTTATTATTATTACTATAACATTATTTCCTAATAACTGCATTGTACGTTTACCTAATCAAACACTACCCGTTTACTGTTATACTTGAGTACAATTAGTGTAATCACATTGCGAATTCACGCACGCACATGTCGCCAACACACGTCGCGTCGTGTCAAGTAAATAGACTCTTCAGATTTTCTACACCGCGATACGGCTTAATCGCCACTACATTTTTCTAAAGGTGTCGATTTGTACACTAATAAATTCAGCTTGTGCGAATCGACCACTAAAAAATATTAATTTTAAAAAGGGTCGTTTAGTACATAGTGCGAACAAATTTGTGCGAATCGACCACTAAGCCCGCGATATTATGGAATGTATACCGCGACTTTGTTTTATCTGAGCACTGTAGGGATGATTTGCTCAATTTTTTAAATAAAGATTAATTAATACAAAATGCGTAACTCTCTATTTTTTTAAGGTTAAAGAACCAGGACCTAAATGTTACACCTATTTGAGGTTTAATGGTTAACCGCATTATTAAGTCTAACACTATTTTTATACCTGAAGCTTCAAATTGTCAGAACTGGGTATTCATTAATTTGGATTGTTATTTTTATCTTCAAAATAAAATAAAATACTCTATTACACTTACAAAGTCTTTCAAACATCTACAGACATTTATTAAAAAGCTATACAGGTTTCTTCGCGAGGTTTTCATGTGTGTTGGGTAATATTTATGGGTACAGAGAATCGAGAACGGAATGCTGTCCTAAGAATCCTATAAATTGCATACCTAGGCTATCATTGGTTTAATAGAATGAATTGTTACTTGTGTTCAACTCTCACGGCAATTTGTAATAAAACAATTCGAGTTTCGGAAGTACTATCAGTTTCTGGGTCGAGCGACGAGCAATATAATATGTTTAACAATTTCATCGTTTGTTTTTTTTTTATATTTAAGAACTGATGTTAAAATATACATATAATAATAAGATGTAATTGACTTTTATGTTTTTACGTTTTTCGTCTCTAAATACAAATAAATTAAATATTTTTTGGTTATCTAGAAATAGACACCATTCTCTAGTAGTGTATCTGTTTTAAGGAAAAAAGTAGTTGTAAACTAAATTCAGATTTTAAATTTTATTATTTTATTTATTTAATTGAGGTATATTAAAATGGTCTCCATTTTAATATACCTAAATTAAATAAATATAATAATAAAATTTGTCTACTGAGTTTATACTAGTATATATAAATTTTTCAAAATATATCACAAAAAGAATTTGTCAGAAGTGGGATTCGAACCCACGCCCTCAGAGAGGACCAGAACAACTCGCACCTGTTTAACAGGCAAGGTTACCCTTGAGTCTGGCGCCTTAGACCGCTCGGCCATCCTGACAGTTGAAACGTAAAGCGAAATTAGCGTTCACATTCACAGTTGACACATTTCGTGATGTTTGCAATAGATGGCGCTGTAATATATTTCAGTGCATATATTCGTGAATCAGCACAACCAATACGATAAATATTGAGATTTAGTACAATAAGTCTTGACGTTTATGTGGAGTTTAAGAGCAGTTTAATATGCATTTTTTCTATTACTTTAATGTAAGCAAAGATGTTTTATGTTTAAAATATCATCATTTTAACAACGTGCCTTCCCTTTAAAAAGTTTATCAATTTATAGGTGATATATAGTAGTGTAATTTTTATAGGCACAAATAATGGTAAGAGGCCAAAGTACTCATACATTTCATCTTGTTACATAATTATTTTATAATATATTATAAAAAGACTTACAAAAAAGTATATACCTCGCCCAAAAAAATAAAAAAAAAAACCATAGACCTCGATGAAATTAGACCAATAGATCAATTCTATTATGACCACGGACATTGGTGGGCAACGTTTCGTGACGTGACATTGTGTTTGTTACCTAATTATTATTCGATAGGAATTTAGAGCAATTGGTAAATAGATGTTTATGTAATATTGGAGCAGTAATTGATATGCAGTAAATACATATTGTGATAAGCGTTTATACAAGCGTTTCCAAATAAGTTGATTATAGGTTAATTTGAATCGACTCGACTTGTTAGGTGCTCCAGGCGATAACGCGACAGGTCAATGACACCAATGATTTCAAAAGAGGAAAATGAAACAGCTGATTGTGGTTTAAGATTTCTTTTTTCTACTTAAGCTCGAGACGAACTTCACTTTTTAACCGACTTCAAAAAGGACTTATATTTAATTTCACTGGTTTTATGATGTTCGTTATATGTTCGCCATTTGTTAACCGATCTAGTCCAGCTTGACCCATTTAAATTTGAAGAAAATATTTGACCTCTATGGGTAGAGAAGATAATATTAAAGAATGAAAAACAATTAGGCGCATTGAATTTGGTGATACTTTTAATAAATAATAGTTTAAATACTAAACAAAAACACAAATATTTTTTACTGACTAAAAAAATAGGGTTAAGAAAAAAAAATCGTAAAAGAGCTTGGGGTGTCAGGTGACCGTTGTTGTAAATATTTCATTGACAGAAATTGGTAAAAGGAAGTCATTAAATTATAACACAACTTAAAATGCTCCCATCACTTTTTACGACCTATGTATGACCTAATGGAGATTTCTTTAAGGATGTTTTCTTTAATACGACTCCTGCACTTGGAATGGTTACAAAGAACAGCCCGACTCGAGACAACTACTTCTGGCTCACCCAATTTTTTGTCCCGAACGGAAATCGAACCTTCATAAGTCACAACAACATTAACAAAACATTTTTGTTACTATGGTATATGAAGGCGCTTATCTTCCAATTCATCTGGTGTGATGTGACGATAAAATCAAAGAGCGTGCACGCCTATGCAACCTATTTGCTCTATACTTGAACGTTCCAGGATTATAATTGTCAGGTAATAAGTCGCAGGGTGTTCAGCCATACTTTGGTGACTCGTCCCAAATTTGTCAGAGTGTTTAGTTAGATCTTTGTATTATGTCTAGCAGTCTGATGTAAGAATGCATAGAGATCATTTACAAAAGTAAAACCATAAAGCAAACAATTTATTTTTTAATGTTAACTTGTTTTTTTAATAAGTCTAGCACTAGTTCTAATTTTTCGGATAATCCAGTTCCAATGTTGCAAGTAATGTAAGTAGGTGTAAATATGTTCTAATTTCAGCTTATTACTTGAGGAAACAGACTCTGAATAATTGCAGACTGTATTGCGCTTAATTAGAAATTAAGTAATGTGTTATTTTACATGTATATTTATGAATGTTACTATCATTGCAATTTATTTCCCACCAAAGGTATATGAAGGGGTTATGGGGTATCAAGGTACAAGGTAATCTAATTTTTTTTATAATACGTGGGTTACATCAGCATACGGTCAGCTTTATAAGTGGTTAGTATTGATGATTACTATTTCGGTTGGGAAAAAAATTTGAAGGTGGTAATGAAGTACTTGGCTGCGTAAAGGTATTTATTACACTACCTGACGGCCGGATGGCGTAGTGGTTCCTGTAACGGACTGCTACGCAAGAGGTGGCGGGTTCAATTCCCGCTTAAGTCAAACATTTGTGTGCATGTATGTATAATATGTATGTATTTAAAAAAAAAACATATGTATTTATATCACTTGTCTAGTACCCTTTAATAGTCCACTGCTGGACAGACGGGTTGGTATAGGGTTTGTGTCAAGTTTTCCTTTTCTTTGCAGTGCTGTTGTCCTGCGTAGTTTGCTCCCTTAGTCGGCTCTTACGACACCCACGGAATATGTAAGGGTGCTGACATTCCGTATTATTAATCCGTCACCACACGGATGATCAATGACACGTTTTATCCAAAAATCATTGCGACAACATTTACAATTCAATGGTAAAATTGACAATGGCCGATACAGATCAGATTGCCAAACTTCGGTACGTAAATTATGGTCTATTGACTCTGACAATCTGTGGTAATGAGGCGTCGAGTTGTTGTTCAATTAGAGACCTTGTGCTATCTACTTGATTGGTTAGCTAAAGTATAAACGGAGTTTGAAAACGGTTTTTGCAGACAAACTCATCTTTACACTTTATAATAACAACCTCACACATTTCACACACGGCTGTCTGATCCCAAACTAGGTAGAGCCTGTGCTATTAAAACCAGACTGCTTATAATCATACTTATATATTTCTAAATACATACATATTATAGATAAATTACCCCTAGACACAGAAAGAATGATCATGCTTTTCACACAATTATTTGTCCCAGGTGGGAATCGAACCCACGATCTCCGGCTTAGCAGTCAGGGTCACTAACTAGTCCAGCAGGCCCGTCTTGTCTTGTCTTTCCATTACATCGTAGCTAATTCGGAATTCGATTTAACAACGTCAAATAGACAATAACGAGTGAATCGTATGATGCCTCGGTATTTTCAATTTCAATAGGCATTATTTACCAAAATTATTAGGGTTCTTGGTCATTTATAATGGGCGTATTGTTAGGCATTCGAAAGTAAAACTTAATTCAAAGGACTCGTGTCTACAATGCATTAACTTTATCTACCAAAGCAGGTTTTTAGATTTTAAATTTATAAACATCACCAGTGTCTCTTTTGAAGACGTGTTTTGTTTTTATAAGTTTGACGTCATTTAGGTGTTTATTCTATAGTTAAGTGTTAAAAATTACGTGTACTGTTATAACTACTATTTCAAACAAATATAAAGCAAGCATATCAATGGAATACTCAATTTTTAAATGTAGAAGAAGCGTATAAAAATGAATATTAAGGTAAAACGGCTATGTAAAACATAAACCTATATGTATTAATTCTTTCCTGTTGTGCTACAAAAGTTTATATAATGACAGTTGAAATAAAACTAAAATTCAATGTAATTTAATGTTTTATGATTGTGACGGACATACCAGCGGTATCTTCTAGATATCAACTACCTGCTAATCTCGACTTGACTAGAACGACAGAATAACTTCTATAATTATTTTTGATTCTATCTTTCTAAACCAATCAAGTTTAAAGAATCCGTTTAAATTGAATGTAAATTATTTGATAAAGTTGTTGCTTGATGAAACAAGACAACGCTATATCCGCATACAATAAGGTGCCATAATAAGGTCCCAAAAGGTTCTAAGAATAGTCATTTTGCGAATTTTTAAATTCTCTTTTTTAAAAACTGTCAAATGATCATATGGTTAAGAATTTTGAGGTTTGTAGCTAAGTAAGAATGTGCGGCTTTAACTGAAGGATTATAAAAACTATCAATTTCTTTTTTCTACATTATTTAACTTTTCTAAATTATTTGTAAATAAAAGCTACCTTTCATCTATCAGGCAGTAGTACAATTAATTTTAATTTTCATTTAAAATAACAATTAATGGTGATTATATCTCTCTTATTAGCCGTTCCGCATAGTTTCACCTGCGTTCATGGTCACTGCTCCGCTTCCAATGGTCGTATTTTGATGTTACACAACCTATACGATTCCTCAATGAATACTCTATCTAATATTAAATATGTTTTTGAAATGATTAGTTTTAACAAACAAAAAACTTTTCAACATTTTTTTAGAGCACAGATTGAAAACTACTATCTGTTTCTAGGATAACGTGACAATATACCTTTCATCGTAGTGCCTACATATGTTAATGATATGTAGTTACCTGCACACATCACTAGTACTCATTACAGTTGAACACTGAAGGTTCGTTGTGGTTTTTATTATAATATTAAATCTAAGATCAACACAATATTCAAGTGACTTGCATGTTCCTAATGTTTTAGACGTTTTATTTTTGAAGCTCATCCGTAAGATTTGTTTCTCGTAGTCCTTAAATTAGGCTAATTGTTTTTGTATAAGAATATTCGTTTGCACAATAATAATATCTTCACACATCTCATACTGGGTCGTCTGATCTTAAATCAGGCTTTAGGGGGGAACGGGGAGTGGAAGTTATTCACTTCACCGATTCAGTTGAAATTTGGTATGGAAATGGTTTAATTCTTGATAAAATACGTAGGCTACTTTTTAGTACTGTACTGTAAATAAAATCATCATCACACAATTATAAGTCTTGGGTAGGAATCGAAATACCAACGGCTTGGCTTACCTGTTCGAATTGGTAACCTCTAGGTCAGTCAATAAAATACTTCGTCAACTACAAATACATAATATAGCAAGAATAAATGTAAACTAAAATATTCGTAGGACAGTACTGTTTTTAAGTGGCATTCAACTCATCTTCATGCAGCTTCATCATCTGACCACCGACCAGGCTAAACTACATTAACAGTTTTTTAAAGTATGCACCTAAATGTTCACCCTATTTTTAGAATAAAGACTTAGATACAAAAGGAATAAATTAACGTTATCTAAACATAT